ATTAACGAGATGTTAAGCACTACTTTTCATAACATGGAAATGTGTTAACTATGTGACTTACCTGATGTGCTTGACGGTGCCTGTGGCCACGTCCAACGGTACCAGGTCGGTGAAGATCCAGCCCACGGGGCGCAGGCCCAGGCGCGCCGCCAGGTCCTGCAGCAGCGGCGCGCGCGGGTCGCTGGACAGCGTGACGCAGTCGCGCGACGAGGACTGCGGCGGCTCGTAGATGGCGGCGACGCGCGCGCGGATGCCGAGCGGCACGTCGGGGTGGCGCTCGTAGCGGCCGTACAGGAAGCCGACGCGCTGGTGGCCCGTGGCGCGCCAGTACGCCAGGAAGCGCTCCACGATGGCGGGGTGCTCGAACAGTACGTTGTCCACGTGCCGGTACGGCTGCCGGTTCAGCGTCACCGCGCCCGGCTGGCACTTGGAGCAGATACCGCGGGGCCACGGCGGATGCTCCGAACAACCTGAATCCCGGCTGTTATTTTACTACGTCTAGTTTTTTTTTTTAATATTCTTCACAAAGGCCATTTTTGCAAGTACAGAAATTCAATTCGGCTCCTTGTCCGATCACCGACCATTTGCATTTTTACACTATTACTATAATATCTCATACACATGTCACACAAACCCGGAACAACAATTTGTGGATCTCACAAAGAGTTGTTCCGTGCGGGAATCGAACACGCGACGCTTTGCGCGGCAGCCAGTTGCCCCCAGCCACCGCGCCAACCTTCAGTCAAACTGACACATGCCAGTTGATTGGCTTGGCCAAATCTGTCAGAAAGTGGTTGTAAGAAAGTGCGGTTAAGGAACTCCTAATAGTAGAAAAAAAAGTTGTTTTCCTGCTCACCTGGTTTAATTTTGCACGAAAGTTCATCTAGTGAAATAAAGTTGCCTGATGTAATTTTGCGCAAGTAAGCATGAAATGACATATGCTTTATATTATGTTCTTTTAGATATCCTTCATCCCACGGCTCCAGTGGGGAGCAGTGCACGCAGCAACCTTTCGAATTGTGTCTGCATCTGAAATAGGAAATGGCATATATCAAGCCTCATAAATTCAACGTCTGCTAAGTCTGGTTCAATGATCTCACAACCAGACTCATTGGGATCATCAATTGGGAACTAAGAAAAATTCAATTTTAAAATAAAAATTGTTTTTGTACTTAGTTTGTGGTATGAAGAGCCTGGTGTTTAATGTGAATACGGACATGAAACAACCACAGCATCCTTGTGTTTAGCCATGTGAGTGAGGTTACCGGAGGCCCAATCCCTCCACCTCCCCTATCCCTTCCTGATCCTTATACCCGCAACCCCTATCCCCAAAAGGCTGGCTACACACTCACTACTCCATTAGTGTTGTGGGTGTCAATGGGCAGCGTCGATTGCTTACCATCAGGTAATCCGTCTCCTCAATAGCTTACTTATACCATGAAAAAAATAATAAATAAATAAAGAAGAATAAATGAAGGTGTCAATTGTAATGATGAATAAAGAAATTTTCCTTAGTTGGTGCAAGTATATTGGAAGTGAGAACAAAGATGGTGGGGTAAAAGAGTTAAGACTAGAAGTAATTTATACATAAATATATCTTGACACATACTTTACCTTTGTTAAATGAGGGTAGGCATAATTTCAGAGGGCCACCTACTATGATCTATATATGATAATAAAAATTATTACACTTAGTGTTTGTTATAGTGCTTTCTTACAGTTTTAAACAGATGGTGATGATGATGATGAAGACAACTCTAGTTTACAAAAGTGAAAGGTGAAATAACAGTTAAGAGGACTTCTCATTTTTTTACATAAGGGTAACTTAATGGGTGAAGCTAGAGCTATATTTTCAATGCATATTAATTTAGTAGATCACTCACAATTTTTCATCTCTCTGTCTCTGAATACTACCAGACATGCGATAAAGTTGCAAGTCCACCTCATCCTCTTCCACTAAATTTGGTCGAGCAGGTATGCTTGTAGCAGCCGGGAGTATCTCTGAGCTAGATGTTGAAGGACCTGCCTCCACTGGCTCTCCAAAAGGCTTGTTGTTCTCTTGTACCTTGAATTCAGTAAGACAATAATTACAAGATACACACATCAGTTCCATGAGAAACTGTTTTGAAAATTATTTCGTCTAATAAGTATATTTTTATTGACTGGTACCTGACTGCTTGTAGAAGGCTGATCAAATAGCACTGCCCCATTGACAGGGCTCAGATATAACATGTCACCATGCTGTAGGCCATAATCGCGGAGTCGACGCGACTTGCTAGAAGTGATCTCTTCTTTGCGTTGTCGATCCTTGTGTAATACGAATGCAAATGTGTTCAGGTGCAGGCTCTCGTACACACGCTCAAATAACTGCGCGGTCACATCCGTGTCGGACATCTCCACGCGCGTCGTTCCTTCTGCTGACTGCACCCGTAATATCTATAAATTCAAACATTCGACTGCACATTACGCTACGGTGAATGGGCACAATATCGTCGTTACGAAAAACGCAAAGTCATTATAGATAACCTTCCAAAATCATAATTTAGGTTCGCTTTTTAATTTCATTAATGTAACTAATTCAGACTAATATTCAAAACATATTTTTGTAGAAACATTTGAATTTTACAAGATTGACAAGTAGATAAACAGAAACTTTTAAGTTTTTGCAATAAATAAACAGTTCTAGCGTTGGATTTCTTCTAATTGGTATTCACAGAACTTATTGAACTTTTGAATTATTATAAGATTAATGTACCATTTTCTTGGGTCCTGACATTATATCTTGCTATGATGAGTAAGTAAAATAGTCGCAAAACACCAACAATTCACTGACATGACATCATGACATAACAAAGTTCTACTCTTTGGTGACTAAAGTTTGATGATTGATCAGTCAGTTGAAACGTCACAATGACATTAATTTAGGTGTGACCAGAAATACAGCAATCAAATAATGAATTTTATAGTGCAATCCTTAGATTATAAACCTCGAGGATTATAACTATAAACCGACGAGGTTTATAATCTAAGGTAGCCTATTCTAGTTATTAACCAGATATTATGACAGCACAGCCTTGCCAAGAAAAGTCGGACGCGGTGACATTTGAAACTGAAAAATGTTCGCTGTTGCAACACTGTTAAAACGTCAACTATGTACCAGTAGTTTCGGTGTCAAAAACAATGCCGTTGTAATTATTTCACTATTTTACATTACTTCACAACTTTTAATCCTCACTTGTTCATTCATAGTGATTAAAACTACTCGTAATAGTGATAGTGCAGTCATTATATCATGTGTTTTCGAGATATGTGGGCAAATATGAAGCGGGAACAATTTTGCCTCCAAATGACAATGTTTATCACAAACTTTTGCTGATAGGACCTGGTATTTATCGACTTTACTTGTTTGTCTAGTCAATAAGGTTATTATATTAATTTTCTTATAAATTATTACATTGGTAACATAAGTTTATTGAGTTTTTATGGTCTTAATTTCAAATTAACAATTTAGGTTATGTTTCGTATATTTATAAATCGCGTATACGTCAACTGTAATTATAGATACTTGAAAGATAAGAATTAATACCGTGTTTTATTATATGTAAAATATAATTTAAGAATAATTTCTTTCAGATAGTAGCTGACCAAGCCTTTCAAAGTGTGACGACCAAGGATTGAAATAAAAATTTTGTCGACATGTGGACTTGATATAAGTATTAAAAATTAATCTTCCAATGCGTGAAGAAATTAATCGATTAGTTGTTATTCAGTAATAAAGATAAGCATCAGAGTCTGATGATGATTCTAATGATACGGGTAACTCAAGCCAGGTTTATTCCGGATTTTGAAAACAATAAACGTTTAATTATACCGTTGTCTATAATTTTCCCTAAAACAAGCAATCAACCGATCGGGATGTTCGTCTTCAAGTGATTTACTGCATGTACGATATTTTACTATTTATCTTATTTTAGAACTATCAACCCTTAATTCAATAAATGCAATAAATAATAAAAGACTGAGTGCTAAATAATACCATAATCATACATATCCTTTTTTAACCATTGGAATGTCTCATGTGTTGTAAATGCTTTACAAGTATTTAAACTTTGCTTTTCAAATCATTGCTGTAACTTTGAAACTTATTTCTATTAAAATGTCAAAAGTATCAAGACCACTAGCGGTATTTGGGGTGGCCATATGATAAACAGTAGCGACCTCAATTTTTTCACACTTTTTTGAAATGCTAGTCGAGAACTCGAGATAATCATCAGAGCCAGACGATGATTCTGAAGATGTAGGTAACTCAACCCAGGTTTATTAAAACTACTTTTAAGACTTATATTAATCATTTTCAAATTATTGCTGTAACTTCTTTTTTTTTAATAGGTCGGTCGGCAAACGAGCTGACAAATTATCTGATGATAAGCAATCAGCGCCGCCCATGGACACCCGCAACAGAGGAGTTACGAGTGCGTTGCCGACTGTTTAGGGATTGGGGGAGGAGAAGGATTGGGCCTCCGGTAACCTCACTCACACGGCGAAACACAACGCTGTAGTTGTTTCACGCCAGTTTTCTGGGAGGCCGTTTTATCACTCCGGTCGAGGTTGAGCCGACCCATTCGTGTCGATGCATGGCTCTCCCACACTTAACTTTTTTTAATTTGTTTTTATATCTTAAACACCAAAAGTATCAAGATCGGTAGACAGACAGTATTTGAGGTGGCTATATATCAGGCATTATTGTTTAGGTATTATGTATAGTAGCTGTTTTTTGGTATTAAATAATGCTTCTGGCGCGATACAATAGACCACGACAAGATAATGTCTTTCCACCTTTAAAATAGGTTTTCATCTATTTTTTTACGTTTAACTTCCATAGATGGGTATTTAATTTTTTTGTTTATGTTTATTGAATGTCATCGTGACATGACAAGTTGACAAGTTTTATTAATATTGATGTTTATTCCATTGAGATAGAAATATTTCCTATGTCAATGGTTTATTCATTTCCAAATAAAAATGACATTTAACATATGTTTTCAGAAAGTAAATAATATTTATTTCCTAGACTTCGTATCTTTTGAGATTCAGGCTCTACTGGGGGTTGTGTTTGTGATATTATATTGAAATTGAGTTAGTCAAAGAACCAGAAATACTATTTTTGCAAAATCAAGTATTTGGACAGGTATGTACCTACACAATGCACATTTCAAATGCGTACCCCAAAGTAACATGTAGGGTTGGTTTGACAATAGTTAGGCCGAAAATCTGAGTAAGTATATTGTGAAAATCCCGTATTAACGTAAGAGTATTATGTTCAAAATCAATTTTTAGAAGTTGTTACTGTTTACGCTACGTGTGCGGGAATGTGTACCTACCTGTGGGCAATTTATGTTGGAATGTCGTGTTAGATGATTGTGTTGGCGGTGTGTTATTTATAAATGATATTTCTGGTGTAGGTTAGTCGTAGTTGATCGCAGTCATAAGTTCCTGTAAGTCGTGAGCGGTCGATCGTACGATCCGCGTTTTCTGCCGCAGAGAGTGAAGTTGCACTGCTAGGGCGCGCAAATCTGTGGACGATAGTCATTTAGTTTGTGTGACAGAATATTATGTATGTATTACAATATGTAAATTGTTTAATGACCTTATATGGATTAGGTTTATCTGATTGCTCACCCGTAATAAATGCCTATTTAGGATATTCACACATTTGTAAGTTGTATAATATTTATCCGAGACAAACACAAGTGATTTATTTTACAGAAAAACATTTTGGCAGATGAGCTTAGATATTATAAATAAATATTATTTATTAGTAGCAAACATTCAAAATGTAATGAGAAATAATGATGTACAGAATTGAATTGATATAACAATATATAAATACAATGGTACCTTCTAATTCTAATGGTTTTTTCATGCTTTATGAAGAGCTGGGCAATAACACCATGGCAGATGAGCAGGGCACTGTAGTGGAGCTCTACATATATGACCTTACCAATGGACTTGCCTCAATACTATCACCCTCTATTCTGGGTAAGCAAATTCTCTTGTATTATGTTTGTTGAAATCGATTTAAATTGCTTATCAGTTATTTAATACTAGCTACTCTCGCGTGTTTAGACCCGCTGCTCGGCTCCATTTAATCATAGCGAGATGTTTTATATCATATAGCACTCAGAAACATTGTAGATATCTACCAGTAAAAGAATTTTGGAAATCCGACCTGCGGTTCCAAAGATTACCCCATTTTACTAGATTACAAATTTTACCTCTATAATATTAAGTATAGATTACATACAAATATATATTTTTAATATTACAATATATATATAAATAAAGATATATATATTATATATTATAATAGATATATCTATATAATATTTATTTATATATACATACAGTTAATATATGTACTCCTGCCTACCATTTTGGACGATAAAATACACGGTGTTATGTACATATATGTTTACAGGCAGACAAGACATTGAATGCAAAGTATTGTTCAGAGTCATTCTTTAGTGAACAGCAAGCTTTTGGTTTTACTCAGCTGTTGGTCATACTAAGCTGATCATTTCAACTTGAAAGTACAGATTCCGAATTATAAATAACTTGCTACCGCGGCTTCACCTGAGTGGTATGTTGATAAAAAGCACCCTATATCAAAACAAAGTTGAAGTATACTTAAAATTAAGTATGTCTCATTTTTATGATTACATCCTCAACAGGTTAAAAACCTATTACTCAGTCTCCACTGTCCGTCCGTCTATAGGTAAATGATTCGGATTTGAGGAGTGGCTTGAGAGACGCCATGGCTTTCTTACCTCCTGCATGATGCAGTTGTTGCCGAGCTTTGGTAGGTTCCAAACCGGTTCCTCTTTCGGATTCGGCGCAAGGAAAGCCCCGGATATAATCGTTGTAAGAGCCGCCTGGAGGACGCGGTGAGGCATATGGTGGCGGTGCGCCCTGGTTGGGCTGAGTACCGTCATGATCTCAGAGTAGTGATCGGCAGTGGCGACCCTCTCGCGCCCGGCCTTAGTCGAAGCCATGATGCGGAGCGAAAGGAACTGGGACGCCGTCTCCTCCTTCTGTGAAGCAGTTATACTCGCAAAGGAGGAGGCGGTCCGCGTGAGGGAGCTATTCTCCTCACGCCTCAGCCGCCGCAGTGGGCGACACTCCAGGCGTCGGGGATCTGGAGACGATGTCCAGCCACCGTAAGCGTGGGACGGCGAGTAAGGGTAGCTCGCCGCCCGACCAGAACTCTCGCGGTCCAGAACCAGACCCGAGCGTACTACTCAAAGAGCCAATAGACCGCTATAGACGGGGCCCCCTGTAGGGTTGATGTTGCCGGGGTTGCGGGGGAAACACAATCAGGCACCGCCGCTTCGGCCCAGAGCAGGAGAAGGAATGGTAGGGTTAGTTAGTTTAGTTAGAGTCTAACACTCACTCCTGCCCCACTCTGGGCGGGAGAAGTCATTCTTCGAATCGAAACGATCTGTGATCTGTGTGTTGTCCCGCAAAAGGAATAATCGCAAAATGGCGGTTGTGCGGTTGTGGACTTGAAAAGAGACTGACCTCTGAGTTTGTTTCGGCATTTCTTCTCAGAGTAGTCAGATAGGAAATGCCGGCTTCATCTAGTTTTTCACATATAATTTGACGTGTAAAAGTGCCGTTTTATGGCCTGTTTGCTAAAATAAATTCATTGTTTCATTGGAGACCAACGTGGCCACCATTTTTTTGCAACCCTTCGTGAACAAACAATTTGTGTTGGCTTATTTTCGAAGAGTTTCGGATTTATCCAGAAATCTTGTAAACCTACATTAACAGTTTTGATGCAACATGTAACGATAGCCGCTTTTTGTGTATGCAGTATCCATAGGGAAAACAACTTTTATACTCTTAATTGGATAAGATTAAGTATTTGTATTGATTTATGTCCATGTCTAAAGTTGCGAAATTTGCGGTATGTCACAATTTCAATCTTCCTCAATCAGTTTGTGTACAATATCAACGTTTTCTTGGGTGACCTTGACAGGGATCATCACTGAACTTGACATTTTTAAAAATAAAGGGTTGTTAAATATGGGCTGATTTTTCAATGGTACCTAAATGCGAAAGTAATTCTGTCTGTCTTTTCTTTACGCCTAAACTATTGAACCGATTTCTGTGAAGTTTGGTACAGACATAGTTTGGTACTCGAGAAAGGACATTGGATAGTTTTTATACCACAAATCTGCAGGGAGCCACTATTCCACGCGAACGAAGTCGTGGGCAAAAGCTAATCTGGAATAAAAATTTAATTGAGGCAGCGGTTTTGAAATTATCTATTTTTTCGTCTTGCAATTTTAATTATTTTAGATCGTAATTGGTGTTAAAGTGTGACGTTACTTATTTAAGAACTCTCCCACCCCATTGTCACACTGTGTCACACTTCTTCTACTCCTAGATGTGTGACGAAGTTTATGGATAGTTCATAACGCAATAGGTACCATACGCGTAGGTAAACGTATTACTGCACAGTTAAGCAAGTTACTCTTCGTGGTTTACTCTTACAGAAGTAAGTGCAGCTAGCAAGCAAAAATATAATGAGAAAGCCTCCCCTCAATACATGACATCGACATCAGTCTACTATCCAGTAATATTTTTGATTCAACGCTCTTACAGGGCGCCAGATCGAAGGTGTATGGCACACCGCCGTCGTGGTGTATGACCGGGAGTTCTTCTACGGCGGAAGCGGTATCACTAGCTGCGCACCGGTCAGTATCACTACACATTATTATTTTTTATATTATATTAATGGAATACCAACCGCTGTACAATAATTTTCAAAGGCTTATATAGTTGCCAATTACTGGTTACTCCATATGAAATCAGTGCTGAAAAGTATACTGAAAACCAAAACATAAAAAAATATTGTTTCGTTAATTCATCAAATCGCAAGCAAACGCCGGCGTTCGCGCCCCTATTGTTTTTTTTTAACGTTGCCCCATACTAGGATAGGTATTCTCCTGTGTCACACTAGGGTGTTCTTCTGTTGTGTCTCGATTTACACGTTGCACAAAGTGAAAGGATTACAAAATTAAAATGTTTATAACTCAAAATTAAAATAAAGGTTATTGAAAAAAAATTGAACAATAATAAAGGTAACAAAAATGAGATCAAAAACCAAACATGAATTTCAATGAATTCTCCGAATAGGTATACTAAATACTGGACCGTTGGTGTAATGGCTGAGTTGAGCGAGTTCTATCCCGCGCCGAAAATAATTCTAGTTAAAATACCATTGTTAGGAAATTTTGCGGTGTTCCACACCCATGTAACATACCGTTGAATCTGTGCTTGTCCTCTCTAGTGTCAGACTGCCCAGTACATTGCATCGGGTTAAATGAGTGGGGACAGAGAACGCACTTGCGCACTGATCAGAGCTAGACAACTTGTATCGCTCTTTCTCTTACCCACACTGAAGTAAGATTAAAACAATCCTACTTTGAACGTCATAGTTACCCCCCTGATCTAGCTAGAACCGATCATTCTTTATTTACCAGGAACACAGTTATTTTTTGTGCGGTTAAATCATCATTTCTCCCTCTTAGGTGGGGGGTGACAATTTCATCATTGATTAGCGTTTGCGCCCACGTAACCGGGATAGAAAAATATGTGTTATGTTATCTAGGTCATGGTCCATCCGTGTGCCAAAATCCCAAAATAACTTCGTCTTTTGTTTTTCTGTGAAAGAGTAACAAATATCCATCAACCCCTATATTTTTTTCTGCTACAGATACGAAAATAATATTATAATCACTCTAAACAAAGCGTGGGGTTGTAGTGAAGCAATACATTGTACGCGGTGGCCCAGAGGTTAAGGCACTTCCCGCTTCTCATTTTTAATTAAACCGGCATGATCGTGCTACTACGGCTCGACTGGAGTGATACCACGGCTTCACAGTAAATCGGCTTTAAAAAAACATGGCGTTGTGTTTCGCCGTGTGCTAAATGTCCGATCTACATGGGGCGTCCAAAAATTAGCCCACGGACCGTAATTTTTATCGGAGATCACGTTTTTTCTTAAGTCAAACAAAACAATTGTTTAAGAACTAACATGTTTGATTAAAATTGTTTATTTACACGAATTTGAGTACAATAACAACAATTAAATTGTGAAAAATTCACCATTTTATTAAAAAATCAAAAATCGTTAGTTTTACCCGAAGTTTAAATGCGTTTTAAAAACTCCACCATTTTAAAAATCTTAAATGTTATGACCACAATTGTTTTAACTTAATACTCTTCCAGGTACTGCGTGACAACGCGCTCTACTTATGGCCGTGCATTATCATGCATTAACTCAAGTTTTATCCAATATAGCCGGCATATGGCAGCATATGGTCTTCCAGGATCTCTGTTATGTAGCGTACAGCTGTTATACCACCCCTTCTTATAAAAACCAACACCTTGCGTCCAGTCAAATAAATCACACCCCAAAACATTATAATGCCCCACCACAACTGACTGTTTCTCTTATGCAGCACTGGATATTATAACGTTCACCAAGCTGTCCTATGACATCACGGCGTTCATCATAACCGTTTAAAGTCATCCGACTCTCCTCACTAAAGAGAACTGACTCCCATTGTCCTATAGTCCAATTAACGTGATTCCGTGCAAATTGAAGTTTAGCTTGTCGATGAGCTTTGGTCAATTGTGGTCCCACTACTGGCTTGTGTGGCCCGTAATTCTGCTCACGAAGTCTCCTTTTTACAGTAATGTTACTTATCCCTGATCTTCACGTAAGCCTCGCTGGAGATCAACACCAGAAAGGTGTCGATTTCATATAAGTAGCTGATACCACAATAAAGCGGTCGTCCCCTTGCCATGTCACCCTAAGTCTTCCAGATCCAAATCTTCTTCGATACTGCCGTCTCTATGAAACTTTTGGTGAACTCGCCGAACTGCAGAACGGCTGAGATTTAAGCTTCTGGCCACGACACGACACGTTGGCCTTGTTGCAATAAAGCTACAACTTGGCTTGCCGACTCTGCTTCAGTAGTAAAATTACAGCTTCAGTAAATAAACTGAACGCAATTAACAAGATTTCCCTAGTAAAGTCTGTTTCGGCCTGGGAACACCGGTCGAATTTGCCCCGACGTAATGGTTTACGTCGTTGAGTGCACCACAATACAGTTAAGTGTTGATTTGATGGTTCAAATCCCCACTCAACTGTATTTCTGTATAAACTATCTTTAAGTGCAATAAGATTTCCGACAAACAGTATGTCAAACATCATAACTGACCCTTAAAATAAAAAACAACTGTGTGAAACAGCTTACGTGTGAAACAATCGATAAATATTAAACGAAATATGGGCGAGCCGATTTTTTTTATGACCAGTGTAGTTCCCACGGAGTAAGAACAAAGACGGAGTAAGAACTTTGTTCTTACTCCGTGGTAGTTCCCAAAAAGCGGCGCTGTTTGGTTTCCAGTAGGTAATTCATCAGCTTTTACGTGTCCCGATATAAAAAAGAACATTTTTCAATAGTAGTAAGTAATATGCACTTTTTCAGATTATTTAGATACCCTGGGATCAAATCGCCAATCCACCTTAAGCTAGCGTGTGAGTAAGCAGAGCAAGAGGCGTTTGCTCAGCAGTGGGCACACACTTGCTAATGATGAATATGATGATTGATGACATATGACAGAGAAACGTGCATCCGAATAATTAAAATAAATTATGATTAATTATTAGACACAAGTAATAGCAAGGACCCTTCCATGTTGGTTACTACTTATTGTTTATTCTCAATGCCTACACATAGAAAGGTACTTGTGTGAATTGTCTAAAAGTGGAAGAAATACTTCAGAAATAATGTATCTATCTTTAAGTTCACATCTAAGCACGTGTTTAGATCGTTGAGGATTGCGGCTGCAAGCACTGGTGCTTCTTGCGTTACTGTGTACCGCAAGTGTACCGTTCAAAATGGTTGAACCTAGCTGACCTCTTCATGAACCGAGCTTTCTTACATGCCATTTGAGTAGGTACTATTCATCTGACTAAATAATATAAATGAGAAAGATTGCCAGTATGCATGTATGTTTCTTACTCCTTTACGCCAAAATTACTGGACAAGACTCAAAGTATATGCAAAAAGTGTGCGTTTGTCTGTTGTTTGTTTGCGCTGTAAGCGTCGTGGGTAGTGCAAGCCGTTCGGCATCGGTGAAGCGCAACGTGTTTCTCGCCTACCACGGGAAACGCGCGCACAAAAATAATGTAAACAGTTTATTTTTGTGCGCGGCGCGGCGCCAACATGACAATAACTAAATGCAATTATAATATACTTACGTAATTTGTGCACTTGATGCTTCTTGTATACATTCGAATTCCCTTGTATTGACCAGTATATGTCTGCGCAGACACGTGGCAGGTTTACTGGGTTCAGGTGGAGCCTAGGCCTAGCCTAGTAATTCACAACGGACGTTGGACCGTAGGGAGCATCACAACAATACTTACTGGTGCTCTAGCGTTTATACAAATGCCGTTCACTTACAAAAATACACTGCGTTGACTCAATCATATATTTGTTCGTTTTCTTTCTATATCGTCGTATCTGAAAATTCTTCTGATCACTTAGTATTGATAAGCCTCAGAACTCAGACACCCCTATGTCACTTGGTTTATGCAATATTTAATCGCCATTTTACCATATGTCTCTCTCTCTCAAATCAAATCAAATGAAAATCATTTATTCCAACTATACCATAGATAGGTACTTTTGAAACGTCAAAATAGAGTCTGTCAGTCTGTTCGTCAGTAAAGCTAAGTGCTCGTTCCAAATTGAAAGTAATGAGATTTCTGTTTCATAATAGTTGACGCGCGAAACCATCGTAAGGTAACCCTTTCCATGAAATGAAGAGCTCTGGGACTTCATATCTTGCGACATTATGATCAGTAATCATATATCCTGGATCAAATAACAGATTTTCCATATAAATAACTTCTTTTAGTTCTCCGGTATAGGTACTTCCAACAGTGTAGCGTAATCCCACTCTGCCGATCCGCTTCCAATCCTTCTCTTCCTAAGCAAAGAGCAGCTTGTGTCCATAACAACCATCCCAGTTTATTTGCCAATATTTCCTAACAAGCGGCTTTATTACTCGTTTTTTCATTGTATTTATCAACCTCATTATTTCACTGTCTCTTTCACCGTCTGTATGCGGATGTGCTATTGGTCCGGTGCTATCCACAAACGAAATAGTGCTTGAGCAACAATCTTAAATTGTTCGGAAAGACTAGGTATAGTTGCAAACCGATTCGAGTGTTTGCGTGAATGGCCGTTGAACTATGTACTTGAGATGAGATCGAAGTTCTAACCTTATTTAAGTAAATGTGTCGGAATAATAATTGTCAGTTAAAAGGAGGACCCAAACAGCGTCCAAAAATATTTCTTACGAATTGCGCAAACGTCAATTACTTCGATGATTTCGACGATTTAATAATGTGGCCACACTGTGTTGGCCATTGCATTTGGCAATGCAGGACGCATTGCGTCATATTTCACGAAATGCTCATAAAAGTGTAAAAGAGTACAAGTGTACAAGGGTACACACGGAACCGGACGCAGCCGTGGGTCGTCCAGTACTAGTAGTTAGCCGTCGTACAGCGTACCATTAAGCGGGGACAGAGAAAAGACGAATGTGAGGGTATCCTCAAATTTTTTTTATATAAAATATTAAATAATAAAGTGTCGATTACCCTCGGCGCGAATATGTCGCAAGATCGATAATCCGGTGGAACAATCCAAATAATCACAAATTATAATCACAAAAGATCCACAAATTATAGTTTTTGGCCTAGGTGTTATTCTATACTCGCTCAGTATTGGTGTGACCTTTCGCATTTTATTTTAAAAGTTCTCTACGACCATAAAGAGCTTGGCATGAATGCACACATAGTAAGTAAATATAATATTGTCAATTCCTTAGTCGCACGGTGACTGGGAAGTGGAATTGTTGGTACCTATGCATATATTTATAGATTTTTATTAATAGACGTTGCAGCGCGGAGGTGTCACCAGTGTCTGCGGCTGAAACCGCAACTTGTAAAGTCGCATTCTTTGCAATTTGTATCTTGTTTTCCGTGGGTATAATGTAGGTACATGTTACACACCAACAAGCAGTTGATGGTACTCCTAAACTTGAAATGTAATAAAATAGCCCATAAGACAGAATGTTTACCCGTCAAGATTTAAAAAAAATCTAGTTGAAGCCGGCATACCCTATGTGACCATTCCCGAGACATTCCAAAACAAACTCAAGTCAGAGGTCAGTCTGTTAGAAATTCCAGACAAATGTAAAATAATTTGGGAGAACCGTGCAAGTAGATAGGGTAGCGATGCACTCGTCTAAAATTTGAAGTACACTTGCATTTTTACCGACTTCATAAAGGAGGTGGACTTGGTATATCCGAATAATCTGCCAATTGGGGGCCAATTTTGAAAACTATTTTTGGTTCGAAACCATTTAATCCAGATGAGGTCCAATTGACGAAAATTAAAAAAAATAAAAACTGCCTTTCAAATCTAAAAAATAAAAATGTATCGATAATACATCCACCGATAGACTCCGGAGATACCAATAAACTAAACGTACCTAATATGATAGTTTGCAACACAAGTACTACATTTCTATGTATTTTGTATAAGATTATGATTATGTATATAATAGGTACTATGATATTGACGGAGATGCTGGGAGATTCTCGAAAGAGGTTTATCGACTGCGCTTGGCTGCAAAAGTCGGTAGCAGGCGCCACAGAAGGACACATATCGACCAAATCTACCAAATTGAAAGCACCCCTAATCGATGAGTATGCGTGAGGAGATTAATGAATGTAGAAGAAGCGAAAGAGTCAGACTCGTGTCACCTGGTATTTGGCGTTGCATTATCTTTGTCTATCCTAATGAGAGACGGGCGTGACGATATTACGTATGTAGATCACAATGTGTCATGATATAATATGTATATTGCGTCAAATAGCATACTTATTTGGTAGCGGGTTTATTTTTGTGTTTTAATGTTCTATTAATACTTGGTGACGCTTGTAATTGCAGGGCGGGACGCAGCTCGGGCCGCCACACCGCGTGGAACGTCTCGGTGAGACCTTCGTGCCTTTCCAGGTGTTCAGCGACTACATCCAGGGTCTATCAACCACCACCTATAGGTAAATGTGACCATTTTTTTTTACCTCATACTGCGTGCCGTCGCGCACTACATATTAATACCATGTCACGCGAGTCAGACCAAAATTCCAAAATGGTTAACTTGTTCGTAAAAGTAAAGTGAGGAGATAGTGTGAGTGAAGAGTGCGGTCGGTTGCAGTCCGTCGGCGTACAACCTGCTGGAGCACAACTGCAACCACTTCAGCGAGGAGGTGGCGCAGTTCCTGTGCGGCGCGCACGTGCCCAAGCACATCGTGGCGCAGCCCGACGACCTGCTGGCGCCCGGCGCGCGCGCCGCGCTGCAGTCGCTGCTGGACGGGCTGGCGCCGCACGCGCAGGTAGGTCGCGCCCCGCCGCGTCCCGCCGGGCGGCGCGCGGCGCTCACGGCTTGTGCTTGCTTGTGCAGACGGTGTACGCCAACGGGGGCTCGCGCGCCACCCGCGCCGACAGCCCCGACTACCTCACGCTCAACTCACAGATAGAAGAAGTTCGGTGAGTCACTGGGCCACTTCTGTAGGCTCTTAAAATAATTACACATAGAACGATAGTTCCCTCCACAACGGTCCAACAAATGGGAAGTAAGATTTAGGTGTGCGTAAGATTCTTGTATTCACACATAAATTCGAATCTTGCTTCCCTTTTGTCGGACCGTTTGGTTGACGCAACGCACACGTTGAATAAATAATTTTGCCATTACATTGAATCTTTTACACAGCTCTTTAAAGCAGCTCACTTCTTATTTTTTTTTATAAAGAACGAATAAATATCCTGCCCACGATGAATAATTTTCACTAAATTCTTTGTTTAAGGCCATTTAACTATGTCATACGTCTAATTTTGTATGTAGGCTTATGGTTTATCAATGTTGGTTGATTGACTCCCAGAAAATGCTTCTAGCATTAAGTCCTCCGCTATGCAATTGTATAAACAATGAAACAATGAATTTATTTTTGCAAATAGGCCATAAAACGGCACTTTTACACGTCAATTTATATGTAAAAAACTAGATGAAGCCGGCATTTCCTATCTGACTACTCTGAGAAGAAATGCCGAAACAAACTCAGAGGTCAGTCTCTTTTCAAGTCCAGACAATGTAAAAATAACATAATGTGAGAGAACCGTGCAAGTTGATTCTGTAGTGGTCTTTTGATGAAAGAACCACACCAGTTTAAGTGGACCCGTTCTGAAGACAGGCAAGCAAGTGTCAGTTTGCAACCAGCATAGCAAGTGCTGCTGAGTTGTCCGACGAACAATACCGATCTACAGAACATTTGGTTGGTTTGGTATATAAAGAATAAATAAATAAAATGTTTAAGGATCGTTTTTGTACTGTTGCAAGCTATTCCTGCATTTTCGATAGAAGCAACAAGTCTTCATTACATTGGAGTAGATAGTAACATTACATATATTCATACTACACATATATGGATATATATGTGTGAATCGACAGTTATTGTAATGTGTGTCTTGTGATTTACCTAAACTGGAGCGATCATTTACGATTGACAGCGGGCTGCTCGGATGTTTGTAAAGATTACGTTTAAATAGATAGATAACAGATTACCTACGTTCGAAATCCCTGAAATAAAAAATCCGTTACTCCCGTGGGAAGTAGCCCAGTGATTCTCCAAAAAACCTTAACTTTTATTTAACAAGTCATTATCCTCCCAGGTTTTTAAGCATCTTAGTAATTTATTTTATACAATATTTTTAATCGGTTGCTTGTAAGCACTGGTGAGATTTAATTTAATAAAATAATTATCTGTGTTTTAATCAGCAGACTCGTTAATTTTCGGTTGAGGATAATGACATTATTAAATTTTTTTTAATTGATGTGAAGAATCACCCCAATTCTGGAGCCACACTCAGTACACAGAATTCAGAATTTAATTAAATCCTACTATTCTACTATCCTCTAGTCGTGGTGGCCCGGAGGTTGCGCGCGGCTTCGAAACCTGGCAAGTACCAATGTGACTTTTCTGGGTTGCATGTACTTTTTATGATTGTGTAAACACCACTACCGTACTGATAAAAATTCTAATTACAAGTTTGAAATCGCTAACCCGCATTGAGCAGGCGTGGTGATTAATGCTCAAACCTTCTCCGGGTGAGAAGAGGCCTTTGCTCATCAGCGGGCAGTATAGGTGGTTACGGATAATGATGATCCTACTATAATATTATAAATGTGAAAGTTTGTGAGAATGCAAAACCGGCTGTATCGATTTGGTTGAAATTTAGTACTTATGCTGTTTTTTATGAACATAGCAAGTGTATAATGTAAAACCGGCCAAGAGCGTGTCGGGCTACAATAATGAAACGAAACGTAAATGTTTTAAGTATTTGCTCAAATAGAAAAAAGACGAGCGGAAAGGGGGCGGTCTTACTTGTTACAATAATTAGGTAGGCAGAAAGCGGTTCACACGGCGGGGCGGGGCTCGAGACGGCAAGGTAAATGAGGCCCAATATAGCCAGAGTCGCGGGTCCAGAAGACGTGATGCACCATCGCTTCTTTTTGGCGAATTTAAAAATGAATGTTTAGATACTGACGAGTGCTTCGTCATGTTGGTAGTACAAGTTCCGGTAGATATTTTTAAAGGCACTTTTTCCAGCATTTCACTCACATTATTTAAAATGTTTAAATACGATACACTGTCAAGTCGTCCATCAATAAAATAAGGGCCTATTAAATCGTTATTTAAAATACCTGCCCACACATTTATACTAAAGCGATGTTGATAAGCGTGCTGTCGCGTTACATAGGGATTTTCGTGACGCCACCAATGCTCATTATGTACATTAAAAATCCACATTCTTGTGAAAGTGGCTTCGTCGGTGAATAAAATGTTTTTGTCTATATTAGACAAAAACCTGCGACAAAAGGTTCATGGTCATTAACCCCAAGCTCCTGCACGGATCTAAAATGGTAAGGGTGCATGTCTTCGTTGTGCAGCAGCTTCCACAGTCATGTGTGATACACCTAAACGCCTTGCAGCATTTCGAGTACTTTCTTGTGGGTTTTCTTCGAAGTACTCGAGGCTGGCGTGTTGTAGGTCTAATGGGGTATGGTGCTGCTCCTCTTCCTTAGGCATGCGTCGGCACGGTAAACCGACCATATATACCATATTCGTAGATACCGGTTGACACCTAGCATCAAACGGTATGATGGTATCTGTCTGTTGGGGTACATTTCTCTGTACAAATGAATGGCAGCTCGCACACGATCATTTGATAGCGCGTAGGCACGAACCATGTCCTAATATTCTTCATTTGAATACTGGGACGACATTATTAGGTACACTTCACACACTACCTAACACTAGGAAATTCACATTATGTAAATTTGGTAAACGGGGATGTTTACGCAATGCGGCGCGCGGTGGCGCGTTCGAATAGACTGGCGGTCAGCGGACCGGGGGCGCGGGCAGGCTGCATGCGAGCCGATACCTACACGTTTGGCACAGTCGGCGACATAACAAAGGAAAGGGGCGGGGCTTGCGCGTTCGCTTCCTTAGCGATAAGAGCGGCACATATTTGGCGCGTAATTATGTAGGCATTTTACTGTTTCCGAGTTCGCTTTGCGCTCTGTGTTCATGAATCGGACAATTAGATGAAAAAATTAAGGTCATAGTTTTTTTACATATTTGGGTCAAGAATCGAACACTGACCTCCTTCAATACGTCCGTCGTTCAAATTTACATACTGTATATTAATTTGCTGGAACACTGCTTGGATGGCAATTACTTCCTTTGCCAAGGCCAGCATTACCTTTAAACCGATGGAGTAGCCATGGGAAGTCCAGTAGCCCCTGTGTTAGCTAATCTTTGGATGGAACACTTTGAAAAACAGGCACCGAGTCTCAGCTCAAGGACCATCAGGCTTTGGAAAAGGTATATGGATGAGATTTTCAGCATTATCAAGGGAAGTGAACAAGTTCAACCCAAAAATGCGCTTTACTTATGAGCTGGAGATGGCCAGATCGTTGCCATATCAGATGGGTCCTTATCACACTGTGTATACCGAAAGCCAACTCACACTTATCGATCTAGATGCAACGGCACATCACCACCTCTGACACTTACAATCCGTGATGAAATCACTAAGGAACAGAGCATATGGCCTCTGTGACCCTGAATATTTGGTGCAAGAGCTAATCCATGTTCAGGAGGTACTTAAAAAGAACGGATATAGCATAGGGGATGGGCGATCATTGCGACCGCTGAAGAGGGCCAGACATCCAAACGTAAGCAGACCTGCCTTCATGCCGTATATCAAGAGTATGTGTGAAGAGGCTCAAGGAACATATCGCAGCAGTCAATAACCGACAGAGCAACAAATCAGCGATAGAAGAACACCTGCTTCGGGCTAATACTAATCACTGGATAGAATTCAACCGACCGCAAATTCTCTTTACTGATCGCCACCACTATACAAGACTTGTGCATCGAAGCGGTTGAAATAAATAAATGCCCAAACAATTTCACTCGGGAGGACGGCTTTAAATTGTCATCGACTAAGAATCCAGTGATTTGCATAACACAACCTCGCTTTTCTTTAAAGTCGGTCAACTCATCTGTGGATCCTCGTGGTGTGGAATTTTATATATTTTCTAATTTTAAATAGGCCAAGGAAATAAATATCGTGTGTGTGTGTGTAACGTGTTACCCTATGTAAAAATAAAATAATTGTTCTTATTAAAGTCTCGAATCACATGAATTTCAATCCGAGTTCACTTAAGTTTGTCCTACGTTAGTTCATCTCTAACGCCAGGGACAAAAGAATATCCTATGACATTGGTTACAGTATGGCCGGACTTTTCAGGGCTGCCAACAACAAAATAAATAACATCAATTATTGTTCTATGACTTTTCACTTAAATAGCCCCTCCATTAAAAAAATATTTTATTATTTTTAAGTTCCATATTTTTGTCGTATTTACATGAGAGATTTTGATGCTGGTTGGATTTATAAAACCAACGTTCATACAAAAAGCGGACATCTCCTTTTCTCGTTAACACCCGCTGAATAATATGTAACAATGCGAATCATAAAAAAAAAACAACTAAGAAAAGCTCTACTAGTTTCAAGTCTTCGTCGGCTTCTAGCCGCCGAAACTAGCAAAACTTTTCTCAGTTGACTCCCGTGATTACCGAAGTCGTTATTTTCAAGAAATTAATTTATTTCAAACTTGATGCACAACCAATCTACCTATGGGTGATGCAGTGACGATCCAGTGGTATATGCAAGAAGCAGAGTGATAGATGCAAGCTAGAATTTCGTATCTATTGTGCCTATAGTAAACCTACATAGACAATTATAATGTAAGTAAATAATTATTAGTATGGCTTTATCATTTTGTCGACTTGACTGACATAATTTTTGCTTGTTATACTGGTAATGTATAACTTGCTATTTTATATTAAGTGTCATGGGAGTCAAAAATCGCTAGCACCAACGTTTTTAAAGCATATTACATTATATTACATATTTCAATAGCATACAATTTTTGAATAGCAACTATCGTGACACTCAATTTATTTAAATGAATGCGTGCCGCCGCCGCGATGCGCATGCTGCTTGTGAGTGAGGTCTGGGGTAGATTGGGTCGAGGGACTCTTCAACGAGACATATAATCATTTGTATTGATAAGAACTTTACAGATAGACAGACGGTGACTGTCTTTACGGGTCTAATCATGAAGACAAAGGATAGTGCAGAGAGTGTTTTTACTTAATTCATTTATATAATGAGAACTTAGCACCTATACGGATTATTATGGAGGTGTGCAGTGTATCTGATGATGGAGACCATTGAGAGGCGAGGGAGTTCGTCAACGATTTACAGCATTACATCAGTGGTAAATTCAGCCACAATAAGCAGCACCAACGTGAAGACGGCAGCGAGGACTCCGCCGGCGCCCACCGCCTGCCAACACATTCAGTCAAACTAAAAATTAGAAAAATAATTTATTTCGTACAAATTGATACGAGTGTATTTTCATTTAGTTAAATAAATAATACCTCATAATATACAAATATAATGTTGAAGCCGGTGCCCAGTAAAAAATGATTACATATAACTCTGTGAAAAGATATAGCCACCAACTACAAAATATGTTGTACTTTGTAAGATGTCATTTTTTTTTTATTATTTTTAGTTCGCTATTTCAGTTTCGTTTTTTAAACTTGCTATGTTTCGATAGCATAGACCGTCCACTTAACTTTTGTTGCATCGATATTTTGATGGTTTAGTTTCTTCCATATACATAATTGAGTTCCCTGAATGTGCCTGTATATTTCATGCTGACTCTACCTAAATACCTAGATATAGCATTTTAAGCCCCACACCAAATAAATGCATTATCACTAAATATAACCTAGTATCCAGTTGAAGCTAGCTGGAGTGACGCCTGAGACGGTATGTATGCGCAGAGCGGCGTCGCAGGAGCTGGACGCGCGGCGCAGCACGCTGGCGGAGAAGCTGGCGCGCAAGGAGCGCCGCCGGGACAAGAAGCGCAAGAAACAGGGCCGCGACCGCGGGGACGAGGATGCCGCCGGTAACTGCTTTGTTTTTTCCATCCGTACTTCCGAATACATGGTTTGAGGTGGATCATTGTGTAGCCCAGTTTCTCACGTTCCATGGCAGCTTAAAGAACTTATTTATTTTCATACATCATACCTACTCTGGGAGTGAAAGTAGTCTGTGTCAATACTAACGTACAACTATGATAGATCATTTAAATGTCTCATCAGGTGTTGAGTTTAATATATGAACCTTGTCGAATGTAAAACAAATATGACTTTGACTTTTGACTACGACTTCTCCCAGTTGTACTGTTTCTTTTGTGCCTTCAAGGCTCAGGTCATTCTGTCTATTATACTGTCTCAATTTAGGTACCGGGCGAAGAAACGAAATAGTACTTTCCTATTTTGTTTGACGACACAGGAAAAAATCCTAGTGAAGTAAGAAATCTAAACGATAAAAGAAAACATTGCAACCGAGGCGGAATCCACCCGAGCCGTAGGTTAGGCCTATTAAGTAATTATTTAGTTATTTGACAATAAGCCTACATGTTATGGCAATCACAGTGATTTATGTAGGCGAAAATAATACATTGATTTGGTCGTCAAGATTTGGTAATCATTTAGTAAATTTGGTGGTCGAATACACAGAACAGATAAAAAAGGCACCTTTTTTTTCTGTTCTGTGGTCGAATACAATTTAAAGTCGTGACTAAAACAGCAGCTGTATTTTTAGACTTTATTTTTATGGTGTTAAGTAGATATTTTTCGTTACATAACAAAGGTTTCAAAGCATTTTATGGTGGTCATTATATTTATCCCCAAATAAATATATATGCACGACTAACTACCATCTGCTTTTCTTTTGATTGAATGTCGCATTAACATCCTATCCTATGTCCGCATTGTAGAATAGCAGTGATTTGTGACTCTTTGTACGTGGACGTGGTGGTGGCAACCCCGGCTAAAAATCAGGCTTATAGGGCCACATCTGTGGTCGTCCATTGGCCCATTGAGGCGCGCGGAACGCTACGTGCCGTACGGTCTGGGTTGGGTCTAGTTCTGGTTGGGCGGCGAGTTACCCGTACTCGCCGCCCGCATACCCGCGCTTACGGTGACCGGATATCATCTCTCAGTCCCCGACTGCGGTGGCTGGGGCGTGAGGAAAATAACTCCCTCGCGCACTCCGTTTCCTTCTTTGCAAGCATAACTGCTTCACAAAAAGAGGTGACGGATCCAGTCGCAGTCCCTCTCGCTCCGCACCATGGCCTCGACTAAGGCCAGATGTGAGAGGTCGCCACCGCTGATTACTCCCCTGAGGACACGATGGTATTCAGCCCAGACAGGGCACATTGCTACCGTATGCTCCACCGTGTCCACCGGGTGGTCCTAGCAATGACGTCACTCGGGAGCTTCCTCCGCCGCTTCCCCAAAGATCGTACGATAGCCACGGATTATGCGGACGGCCATGACCCTCTGGGACGCGACCAGCAAACGAGCTGGTCACCGCCTAAGTCCCATACAGGGGCCTCGTAGAGAGCCATGGATCGCACGTTCCCCATATACAACCTCCGGCAAAAGGCGTTTGGCCTCCCTCAGGTTGGGAAGCGCAGCCCCAACCGTTCCAACTTGGAGCCAAACGTCGGAAATTCTCCGTGAAGTTCCACCAACCGTCGAGGATGAGACCCAAGTACTTCATCGCCGACTCGACGCCGATTGTATGTGGTCATCCTTATTTAAACCAGTGACTGCAAAATATATTTATTTTATAACATCTAAATTGGCCAATTATCTCAGATATTGTGAAACCACGAGTGCCAAATAATTTCGAATTGTTTTGGATATGATGTTTCCAGGTATTTGGCTCATAGAAAACTGTACGACATAGGTACATAGGTACCTAAGTAGGTATCGATATTCGTTTAATGTATTGAAGACAACATTTTTTGTGATGTTTGAAGCCTCACTCAGAAACAATTTAAAACATCCAAGCACGTGACTGGCTGTTTTGTTTATTTATTGTAAATAGATGATCGCCATACATAATCGTACCTACTAGTATGTTAACAAGTCCACTGCTACATTAGAAGTATTAACTTTACTAAATTCCGACTCCACATTCTGTTAGGTTTTTGAGAACGTAATGAGGGATGACATGTAGGTAACTGGGCCCTAGGTGTGGTGTAGGGCGAAGATATCGGTAACACTTGTATACAAAACGCAGAGTTGAATGCAGAGAGTAGCGAAGTATAAATACACCGAGAGCGCGGAGGCGAGCTGGCGCGCGGCCAGGCGCGGCGGCGCGCGGCGCGGCCAGTGCACGCCGTCTCACGCCGCCCTCTGCACTTTATTTATGTTACGGCTATTTCCGCGCGGGACCGAACACCACTGCCACGTTGCGAACTCGATATTTTAATTCCGATCCAAATCTTATGCCATCCTAGTGATTTTTCACGACTACCGGTCAAATCTTCACGTCCGCAACCTCGGCTCGCCAAAGAAGGGATCACGAGTCTCGTGTAGGGGCCACGTATCGACCAAATTTTAGGTTAGTAGTAACCTTAGCTTTCAATAAACTCATCATTTTACTGGAGTTTAATACAAATAACATTTTACAATATTTTAGAACAAAATATATAAGTATGTAGATCTAAAAGGGACGGAGACTTGTCGGTAAAGTAATACTTTAGTCCAGCGGGCTACGACCAGAGCCTAATGGAGAATGTTTGTGGGTGGTCTAGAGATGGCAGAAGCAGTGGAGACGGCGGCGGCGAGCGTGCCTGAGGAGCTGTCCCGCGCCGGGCCCAGCTCGGATGCCCTGGCTGCTGAGGCAGACGAGAGGCGCGAGGAGGAGCTGCGCAAGCGCAACCGAGACCCGCCCATCGTGTTCTCCGACATCGATGTGAGTAATCGCAGTAATGAAGTAACTGGTCATAGCGCGTGGCACTCAACTCGGCCGGCAGATAGTCGTGAGGCTCAGATACAGCGGCGTCAAGCTGCAGCTAGAGACTGCGGCGGCGCGCCACGTGACAGCGGGCCGGAGTGTTTGTGTAGCGCCCGATAAATATAACAATTACGAGTCCCCTGTCGCTGGAACACCGTAATTGCGGGCGCTCCAACGTTGTATTACTACTGCTCTAGCAGTAGGGGAACTTCATTTGATTGTTTATGAATAACTAAGGTATATCATTTTCCAACGATTTTAATATGACACAACAGTGAAACATATTTATCAATTTAAATTCAATGAAAGAGTTGTTTCTGGCACATTCTATAAGCAAGTGAGACATATGTTTAATTGTGTTACATACTACACAAGAGGCGATTGTGCTCATAAGAGAACCATGTTTTGTCGAGGGAAGTGTCTAGAGCGTATTCTCAAGATTAATCTAATAGAGTTTGTATTCTGTTTATCACCATGAAACCAGGCTATACGAGTAGGCTCACTTTGTACCATAACTATTTTCGTTAAAAGTGTTATCAGAAACATTCTTCCAGTATATAATATTTGTCCTTGAATCTGCTGAGGTATTCCGCATCTTTTCATTGTTTGGTTTATCTGCTAATGTTTTGCAGTGTGGGCAAAGTCTGAGATCACCTTTGGCATTAGCAAATAACAAATACTTATACAACTACTTGACTGTAATAGATCCTAGAAGAAACGTAACTTTTCGTTTCGACATTATATTTTCATCTACAAGAGCAGCCGTGTAGACATCATGGTAGCAATTACATGGGTCGTTGCGGTCTTGTAGATGTTGGAAAGAAGTTATTTGTTAGACTTAATAATATGTCGATGGTTTCAGGGCGTGCAAGAGTTTGAGAAGTTTTCGAAGGCATTGGAAGGCGTGGAGTTGACACCGGAGGAGCGGCAGAGCGTGGACGAGTTGCAGCAGTACCTCGTGCAGGGCGAGGGCAGCTGGGTGCTGGGCGACGACTTCCTCACCTTCATAGGTAGGCGGCGCGGGCCCCGGAGGCGGCGGGCGGCGGCGGGCCGGGCGCGCAGTGACGCGGCGTGTTGCAGGGCGCGTGCTGGCGGACGCGGCGCTGGGCGGCGCGCGCGTGGCGGCGCTGCGCTGCCTGGCGGCGGCGGCGCGGCGCGACGACGTGGCGCTGCTGCTGCACCAGGACCGGCGCCACCACGCGCTGCTCAACTACGCGCACGCCATCGACGCGCACCCAATTCCTGAACAACTCGCGCTGGCGCTCTTCGTAAGTGTCCGTCTGTACGGTGTCCGCCGCCCCCGCCCCCCGCCCCCCACTAACGGAGTCGTGTGCCACAGCTGTGCAACCTGTTCGAGAACGTGTCGGCGTCGGAGTGGCTGCTGTACATCAGCGAGTGGGACCACAACGGCCAGCCACTGTCCAACATCCGCGCCACCACCAAGGTACTCACAGGATACGCATTGGAAAAAAACAACCACCTACTTGCTCGGAAAAATTTATAAATAATGCTAACAACATCTAAAAAACTTACGTTTTCTTTTTTCAAGTAAGTACATGTAGCACATTTTGAATCTTAAAATATTGTAATATTAATATCTGCCCAACCAGAGTGTAAAATGACAATTCTTGCTCTTTCCAATATGTAAAGTCTTGTATCGAAGACCGAACAATAAATTGTTTGGTTCCCTTGAATAAAATATTAGAAAGGCCAGCATAGAGTTGGTCCCGGCCAGTAGTGACAGGTTGCGCGGGCGCAGGTGGCGGTCCACAGCTGCCTGAGCAGCGAGCCCGAGCTGCGCGACGTGGGCACGGCGCTCATGTACAACATCGCCACCAAGGAGGTAAAGACCGTGGTCTGTATCCATTCCTTACTCATTGCTGCTTTACTTACTCTACACACTCTCGCAAATACTTATTTCTACGACAATTACACACGAAGACCCATAGAGTAGACCTGTGGAACACATTGTTTGTTCTAGCGTGTCTCATGTAGCGCAGGCAACAGGCCATGAATCTATGATTGTTTCAATATAAATAAACTTTGACAGATTCAAGATATTCCAAAGACTCTTGTGTCATGGCCGTTCTTCTCCTTATACAAATAACATGATATTTAGTTTTGTACGAGTGGGAATGCCAGGGAAGGGAAGCGACTCCCACAAAATAATTGCTTATATATTTCCATCTACTCTATAGATAATGTATCAGCTTAATGAGATCAAGAAAACTCGTGTATTAAAACATGTACCTACTTACATGAATGTTGCAATGAAGTGATATTTATTTCAGTGAATAGGCTACGAAATATTTATTAATCATATATTTTTAAATATCTAATATCCTGCGGTCGCCATGCAATGTAGGAGCAAATAAGACATGTGTTACTTGTCAGATTACCTTGAACTAAGTGTCCTATAGAGAGAGGTGCGCCACACACTGCAGTACCTATCGTGAGACAATAACGACTTAGTCAGTTTTCTACATGAACAAGAGTCCCGTTGAAACTAGTAGACCTTTTCTTAGTTTATTCACGTAAGTCGTTGTTACGCGACTGCCCAAACAAGAAGTGTTGTTTCCAGGGTTCATGTATGGAGTTTCTTTTTTCCACTATAACTTCCAAATGCTTGGGCAGAATTCGACATATAGCATATCGGGTAACATAGGCCAAGTTGTGTCTTAAAAATCAATGGCGCCACCCCATAAGCTAGCATGTGTTAATGATAATTATCTTCAGTTTGAAGCGTTTATTAAAGTGACTAGCAAAATATATCACACTAGGGTTCTATTTTGAGACACTTTCAAGAAAAACATATTTTGATTATGGGATTGGTTTATTTCTTTGACGAGTACTTACAGTACAGTAACTTTTCTATTTCGTGCCGATATATAGCGTTAATAGATGTTATGAATATTTAATAATCGCTCTCATTGTATATTTCATCACTAAAATGACATCAATATATATTTTTTTCAATAAAAATATAGACATATGTTGTTACCGTACCGAACTATTTCCGATGAAGTTGTTCGACTGTCGCTGGAACAATAACTAGCTATCGGTGCAGGCAGGGCAGGTTGTGATTAACTTGCATTTCCTTGTTCTAAAGCGGTGCATCTAAGGTAGACATTCTTTCATTCTCGGTATTAGCAATTTGCCAATAGACTGCTTGCCCACGGTTTGATTTAGGGAGTTTATTTTATATTTGTGCAAATTTCTGCCAGCCGATAGTGCCGGGATAAACTGGTTATATGTCTGTATAGATAGATTCTTTTAGTACTTTTTGCTTTAAAGAATAACGTATCAACATTTTCATTTATAATGAGTATTTATTGAATAACTAGCGAGTCCCCCTGCTTCGCAAGGGTCTTACGACGAAGGAGTTCTTATTTCCCTGCCTACCCCCAAATTTTCTTTCGTAAGAACCTTCTCCCGGCAATAACGAAAATAACAAAAAAAGAATTGGCAAAATTGGTCCAGGCCTTATTGAGTTATGCGCTTACCAACACATTTCGCGATTCATTTTTATATTATAGATCACATGACTGTGTGAGTGCAGACCGGTCGTCCGACGGTATTATCTCTTCAATTTTACTAATCTGATTTGTGTTGCCTGCAAGTTGTATGTAAAGCTGACATTTTATGTTTCAACAAATAACTCGGCGGTCATCTGTGGTGACACTGGGAGTAAAAGACGGAGGTACTGTTGCTTTATTACTTCATACTTCTTAAAGCCAATGTTAATGCTCTGACCCCAAAGTTACGTGCAGGGTGGCGACACACGCGTATACTACCCAGCGTGCTACAATAGACACCATTATATAAGTTGTGTCGGCGCACGCGCACTAATACCCCCGCTGTACCTTCATCTACATGTTGTTGTGCTCATCTGTTTTTCCTTCTCAATAACACTCGGCTGTCGCTTGTATCATTGTCCACCTCAGCTCACAACTTGCGCATTCTGCAACAGCAGCGGCAGTAACCTGCCCGACACGGGCCTGTGCACCGATAGTTCCCTATACAGTACAGTTCTCTTAAATAATATCTTAGACAAAATGTATGTTATACCTACATTGAATGGACTCGCAAAATAATTTACTATCGACTTCTCATGCGAATGTGTCCACAATCATTCAAGCAGAGGAAAAATCCCAATGAGAATCTGCGAATGAATTAAGTCAAGTGTCGCGGGGATTATAGTGTAAACATTTTTTTTTGTTCCGGTAGAACGAAATAATGTCTTTACATAAAAATATAATTGAAATGCAAATAACCTCCATTAGGTGGCCGGTTTCATTAATTAGAGATGTGCCGACTAATATATCTACGTTGGTCGGTTCCTGATTTACTTTGTATAGATTCTTATATTTTGTATATTTAGTATCACATAAATATGTGCGTACTGAATATACCCCTCCCCCCCCTGTCCAGAGATATTAGTATGACTCGAGGTACACTTTGCTTACAGCAAGCAATTGTTCCTTTGTCGCATTTAGCACATTTCGTTAGTTAAAGATTTTTAATAATAATAAGTAATCACTCATTGTTTCATTGAACAATGTGCTGTGTATACAGTATACGGTCCAGTGTTTGCCGCCGAAGTAGGTAGAGGGAACTGTCGCTGCACGTGGCACGCGGCTGCGTGGCTGCCAGGCGCTGTGGTACAGAGTAGGGCGTAATGTTACAGCGGTTCCAAGTGGGCAAGGCGCTCCGAGACATGCTGCCCAGCGGCGCCAGGTCTAAGGTACCGTACTCATTCCCTGTTCACCGTACCCACTCAGACTGAACTCTTCAGTCAACGTAAATCGTCCATACCGGAGCTAACTGCTCGGTCCCAGCACTATTTTACGACCGCTATACGGTATTTGTACTGGCAATCATTTAATCCCACAAAATAAATGTAACGACACATGCCTGCGTCACTCGCTTGAGCCACTGATACTAAGTACGTATCGTAAACGTGTAAAACTACTAAACACAAACAAGCTTCGTTCCCTCGCGCCTCGTGTTTACACAACGCGGAGTAAACGTTTCCACTCCGACCGCCTGTCTCTGTACTGCCCATTATTTACCCGAGGAGGGCATCTCAAGCACTCTTAACAGGTAATCAGTGACAGTCTGGGCACGCAAATAGACAGAAGCAACCAGAACATCAATAATACTTTTCTACTTGCACGCATTGTTTCCTTATTCTCTTCCTTCTTACGACTATACTGATATTTACGATGCTTTGACGAAACTTATTTTATTACATTTTAAACGAAGCGAATTTCTAAATACTTCGGCAACTTGTTAGACTGTCACGTGGAATTTAGTAACGAGGTCGGCATTGTAATAGGAACGCTATATGTTGTACTAACACACGCTGATATTCATAATAAGATACTGTTTTCTTCAGTTGAAGTTGCGCTGATGTGAAATGGTTGAAATGCTCGCCTTGCTTCAGGTTGTAATCGAACTGGTATACTAAAGCAAATATTGTGACTGTAGGTACAAAAGGTACCGTAACCATACTTGTCGCTGCAGTGCAACAAGAATGGTTACGGTGTATACATATAAAAATAAGTTTAGTCCGATGGTTAGATAATGATAAAATATTAGAAATATATATTTTTAGTCGTGTAGGAGTGGGAATGCACTACGCCACCTATATAAAGTGCACTATATCGTGACGTCACACGATATTTCAGTATTTAGTAAATGCATGAGTCATGTTGTAAGTCTATCTATGAGGGGAACATTAAAGCATACATAGCATCTCATAATTATGAAATATACAGAAGGCAATTTCTGACAACTTGATAATTGACAGAAATTGCCTTCTGTATGCTTGCGGCGCGCTCTCTGTAAACCCGTTTCAGTCCACTTCCACTAGTCTATCTCCCATTGCTGGGATAAATTTAAATAAAATACAATATTGAGAGGAGTCTCTTCATTCATCCTGCGATTCAATCCGCAGTAATAACACGTGCTTGCATACTGGAACAATATTATATTTATCTAGTTGAACGCATTTCATTTACTTACCTACATAATGTATTTAAATAGTAATTCTTTTAATTATCTTGACTTTTGCACTGCGGTTGTCGCATTATTCATATTAAACGTTCAAATATAAAACATTCCATCGAAATAGGGTTTGACATTCATACCAATAGCACATTTAATATATAATATATACATTATAAGTATATTTTTTATTTAAAAGAGTGTCCAAGTCCTCTCGCTTAATTTACTGGTTCTCGTTTTTGTTTTATATTTTTAGACAATAAACATGTTTTGAGCATAATGTATGAAACAGTTAAAACGTTTGCATAATTAACGATCTCGTTTATACTAATTAAATAATGAACAAACTTGTTTCTGTAATTAATGTATGTATTATGTTGTATTATGTTCCCCACACGAAGTACGTTATGCTAATATAAATTGTTATATTTTTTATCTGTAGTGTGTAAATATTGTCGTGGATGTAAGCTGATAGGCATCTCTCGTAAGACGTGATTTATGAATGTCGTTATCTAAGTAGCGGTCATAAATAAGGCGGGACGTGTACCTGTCGTATAACTACGGGCTGCGTATTTCCCTGAACCTGATCGCAAACAGATGCAAACACGTCACACGGCCCGGCTTCAACCCGGGCGGCTGCAGGCGCTGCGTGACTCCGGGCAGACGTGCTGACAATAACACGACTTCAGTACTTTAATGGTTACTTATTATCGGCGGTCTTTGGCGACGCCTCATATAAAAAAAAACTTCATATAAGTATGTTTTTATAATAACTATCGTGAGACATACTAAATTAACTAAAATTCGCGGGTTACTCACGTGTAAATGTCACGAGTAGGCTGCGCGACGTCGCCGCGTCCGCGCACGCTGCTCATGAGGAAGAACCCCTCTGTGGTTCGAAACTAGTAGAGCTTTTCTCAACATTTACACGTGAGTAACCCGCGAATTTTAGTTAATTCATATAAGTAATATCAATATTCTTATAATTTCAGATAAAAATATCAATATTCCTAATTATTTCATTATATTGCAAGTAAAGTCACACACAGTTTTAATTTGAACATGTCGCTTTATGTCAATCGCAAATAAAAAGATGTGTGCGAAAAGTTTAAGTGATAATGTCAGAAGGCAAGCTGGTGTTATTTCAAGATTATGATATTGTTTGATGTTGGCACAACGGAGAGTGGCGCGAGGCACGAGGGCGGCGCGCGCCTACTGTTTGCCATTACGTGTGTGCTCCTTGCAACGCGGTCTCAACATGCATTCTACATTCTCCTGTACACCATCTACCGTAGGTACTTGCGACCCGTCGACCAACAGGGCAGAGTCATAAACAGATTTATATTTCTGAAGTAGGTATATCTAAACAGAAACATTAAGATTAATTATAATATAGATATATTTACCTATCAAATGGATTGCTTGTTACCCGTACGGGTCACGTCAATCGTGTTACTCCAATAGGTAGTTCTGGCAGCGAGTTGTTTTGTCGACAGTGACGTAATAGTATTTCACGGTGGCAACCTGCATACTGTAGCCAGCTGCATTAGCTTGGTGATGCTTTAGCCGGTGTTGCTCACCTGACGTATCCTTAAACTTTAGGGGACAGAGCATAGCCCCTTCCTCGGTGGACCAGCCGCACCGTTAATGTCTTCCAAAAAGGTCCTTCCGCCTTCTTCAATAAAAACGCGGTCATTTAACACTAGGAAGACCGAAATTTTGAACTACCTATAAAGACCAGGTGGGGTCAAATGACCCATTCATGGGTTATAATGTTTTATTCATGTATTATGATTTTAAGTTTTATTGATTAACATCTAATAGTAAATAAAAGAACTTAATAGTAATTAAACATACATTACGTAATAAAAACATTAAAATATTAGGCACATTTTTGACATTTAATTGTTTACATTACAAGAGCCACACAAAAGCTTTTTACAACGAATTTATACGATTTTTACGATTTATTGGTTTTATTTCTGCATTTTTGCAAGCGGCTATGCTATTATCGGGCTGTGAAGTAGATGGTGTCATCAGGGAGTGGGAATCTTGGCCGACTAACTCCCTGGCCAAGTCAAGAATGAACTTTTTTCTACTGATTTTTTTCTCGATAGTTTTTTGTACAAAATCCAAGAATCATTTGCTGTCAAATCCAAAATATTATTATAAAACACTTTTCCTGTGTTACAGTTAGGTTTTTTGCCATATTTACACTGGTCAAAAAATATCAGTAGTTACATTTCGACCAGTGGGTCCATTGGTCGCAATACGACCCACTCGCCTGAACTTTGATTTTGTCGACGGCTTTCATTTCTTTCTAAACATATGGGACCTCGACCTCGACCTCTTCTTAGGTTTTGCACTACGTAAAGTCTACTGAATCTGAAACAGTGGAGTAAACGCTAATAAAATGTTTCCTTTTCTCTCAATGTAAAAAAAATATTATTTTATTTACATCAATATACAAAATAATATACACTTACTATCAGAATCGTAATACGAGTGGGATCACCATCCCTAAAAGAATCACTATTTTGTGTAATATTGTAAACATTTTCTTGACTTTCTGAGTCTAAATGCAAAATGTGCCTCACTTCTTCAGTCGATTCACAGTCTGATTGATCGTCCTGTAAATTTTGCGACACTTCCAGTATTTTTGAAGGGCAAAGGGAACGATAATGAGGCATTATATTATTATGGCGAGCCATGATATGTCTTTGTTTTGACAAGAATAAAACAAGAAAAAAATATTTTATTTCAACTACCCATGACACAAGTATATTCCACGAAATGTAACTAGCAAGCACGCTGTGGTGTCAAATGACCACTGCGGTCTCTCTAGGTAGGTGATATTTTTTTATTTAGTATTTATCTTGCTATCGGTATACCCATATTAGAATAATGTAAACAATGACGAAATATTAAAAGTCATAAAACGACAATGAGTTCAGTGCTATGGTTTTGATAATATGATTGATCAAAAATTTCATTGGGGTCATTTGACCACTCTGGTCTTTCTAGTGTTAAATCGTTGTCTTCAATTTTTCTGTTAATGAGAACGCAAAAATATTTTTATTTTCATAATAATGAACATGTTAACGATGTATGCAGTGGCAGTAGTAATAAACTGACGTCCTATAGTGTGCGCTATATCGCACCTCGTGATCGTGATAAATCGGTTTACGAGCGTTTCCTCGCGTACATACAAACCTCGACTTGACATTGGCACAGCATATGGTTGGGTGACTCATATTGAACTAGTGTCACCTGCGTTACTGGGATAAAATGCTAGTCTGTGTTTCTATAACTATAACCCAAGGATACAAGCGTAACACGCCTAAATAGGAGCTTGCGTAGCTCCACGACTCCACGCTCCCGGCGTATGTACTAGTACTAGTAGCAGTTGCGACCATACCCCCAGCAGGTTAGGGTAGGCAGGTCAGCAGGCAGACATTTTATGAATTTTCCTGTTTATTAGGATAGGGTGCAAACATTTTTATAATAATTTGACTGAGTAAAAAAAAAATTAAAATCTATTTCAGAGAAAGAAAAAAAGATTTATATATGTTAGAAATGAATGAATAGCTTTAATTGCGTCTGAATGTGATGACATGTGAGAAGGAATGAGGAATGTGGTCCCGGCAGGTGTTCGACGAGGTGTGCGTGGAGCTGGCGATGGCGCTGCTGCAGCTGCTGGCGTGGGCGCCGCCCGAGGAGCTGCTGTGGCGGGCCACGCGCGCGCTCGCGCGCTTCGCCGCGCACTCGCACGACGTGCCGCAGCTCGTCGCCATGGTGGGGCCCGACCCCGCCGCCTTCAGGTACTGCTATACCTGCGTCGCCCGCCTGTCCGCCTCGCCCGGCCCTGCTCTACCGCTCGCTCTCTGTTGCAGGGGCACCAGCCCGCGCGTCGACGAGCAGATAGACCTCATCATGAAGAGGATCAAGTAGGCCGAGTGACCTGAGTGCATCCTCGGTGCTGGCGTGGTTTGCTACTCTTCTTGTCAATGTTTTAATTTGTACTTCCGCGTACTAGTCGGTGCTCAAGGGATGTAGATTTGTATAGACGCGCCGCTCCGGCCGCTCGATTGTAAATAATACGATTACCTGTTAGTACTAATGATATAATAATTAAGGCGACTTAGTGTAAGTAGCTTATAATGAGCTTAATCTGTATAAATTATTTACAATGAGACACACAGATGATATTATTTATATAAAAGTGGTGCATGCTAACACGTGGCGGCCCCCGTGCATTTACACATAATGTATGCTTATATATATAATAAATGTTTGGTATACTGGGCACTGCGTTGTCTTATTTGCTGCGGAGCAACGCGAGCTGTGCGTCGAGGAACCCTTCCAGTAGGTTTTAAAAGCTTGCTTGCTAAGACAATGCGTGCTTCGACTAGATAATGCAGTAAGTTACCGTAACAACAACAAAATGAATTTGTATTAAAAGAGAAGTGAGAATGCTTACAGCTGCTGGTAGTATTAAAGTGGCCTTGCACGTTTTAAAACATGTTACTGACATCACGATTGGTGACATCAGTTTTTTGCGCAATGGAAGATCAATTGCGCAAAAAGGAATTAGGAACAAAATTCTGTAGGTACTGTTCAGCTAATCGACTAACTTCAGACTCGCCAAGATACGTCAGCGGTATTGTGTACTTTTTTCAAGTTATGTAGCTAGTTGACTTGTGAAACAAAAGCTTATCATTTGAACAATACATGTTTGTCAATGTCCCGCGTTTCGGGTAAGACGTCGATGGCTGTGAGCGGCTGATTGTTCGATAGCCAGCAAAGTTTACAGCAGCTGAAGTGCCCTTCATAAAGCTTACTTTTTGTGTATCGCGGTGTAGTCCTGCAATCAGGATGTATAAAGCTCTAATAGAGTCTAGTGGCTTTAATACGCTGCGGACGCGGGCTACTTGGCTCGACACTCTTCAATAAATAGGACAAGGAGTTTAATTTATTTAATTAATAAATAATGTGACGCTTTGACACAAAACAAATGCAATAACGACGGCAAGCACAGCGTGGCGCCGCGTGCACTGTGCACGTGTGTCTAGTTGTAGTGTTCATAACAATAATATAATTTTATACAAAATGGTGGCTTCTTCGCAACCTACCTACCCGGGTACGTCCGTACCGGCTTTGAGCGCCAGTTTTTCTAGTTTCACTGAATGCTAATACAGCCGTATTCTTACATTATAAATGGTAATTAAAATATTAAGCAATTTGTTGTGTTACGAATCCGCCGGCCTCGATATGAGCGCGTCGGGCGCGACACAGTGCACCATGTCCGTAGCATCGTCTCGCAAATAGATAACAATCACAGTTACCAGCGCACAAACAGTATTAGCATTACAGGTAACCGTGTCAATGTCGCTCCAACTATGTCACCACTATATATTCGCACCCAGCTATCTCCTCAGGAATATCACAGATTTACTGAGTATTGCAAGGTATTGCAGTTATTTCTATTGTGGCGCCGAGTGATCACGGTCGGCAGACTACTGATGAGTGGGACTTTTCTCTAAGTCATCATAATTAGCATGGAGTCTTTAATGGTCCCCGCACAGCAGTGGAACAGTTGTCGCGTCTACTGCGTCCGCTGTACGCGCTGACACTTGGAAGAAAGTGAAAACTTGTCCTTTGAATGAACATAATATTGAATAGTATCGCGTGACTTTAAAAACAAAACAACGTAAGAAGAGAATTGGCCGCGATAAGGCTGTCTGTACGCTTGTTCACACAAAAAGCTGTCAGATCTCCTGACGGACATTATCAGGGTGAGCGCGTAGTTCCGGCATTGTTACAGCTGCTGCTGTATGAATGAACATCCTACACTGGGCACGAGCTTACTACCGCCTGCTCTGGTACCTCTGGTTGTATCCACTGGTCCTCAGCCGCGCCTGCGGGGTATTGTTATATGTACGTAGATTCGTCGCTAACATGTGTAGGAAACGATAAGAAATCGTAACATTGCACTTGATTCAAACATTCAGAATCAAACTAAACTAGTGTAGTCATAAAATATGTGTATAACTACGTGTACAATAAACTATTTCCCTTCGTTAACGTCGGCCACTTGAGGAACAACTAGCAGCGCTGTGATCATTTACGACGGCACGGGTGGCGCTGATCCTACCGTTGGCCAATATACTACTGTGTAACGAGTCGCGGGTTCGACTCCCACATGGGACAATTCTTTTAGTGAACACAAATTGTTGATTCGCATCTGAGTGTGATGTATATGTGGGTTTGACTGCCAACACACCCGCCCGCCGCGGCACCGCCAGGAGTACCTACAAGTACATTAATGTACAATCCCGGCTCCGATAAGGAACGGGTTAATTTAAAGTCAGTAAGATCTTGAGACTGTCTTGAGTCTTGACTTGTGAGAGTCATTTGGCAATTTCCCCCCCAAAAACACCAAGCCGCTGCGGCCGGTAGTCGTACTGTCTCATACGTGTCGCTAGAAATGGTGCAGATTCTAATTTAGTAATGGAAGTGATTAGGAATACTTACTCAATATGTACCAACAGATGCGATACATAATAAATGCGATGCATCTTGGCCTCTTGCGGTCTAATGACATCGTCAGAAGAGAAAAACAAGAAATTGAATGCAATTTTTAAAATGTTTTAATTTTAGGTAGGTACTCGTTTATAACATCATCTTGGCTCCTCGTGCCCTAATGACTCCGTCAATTACCACAGATATCGTTCAACTGGTTTTTCAATGACCACGGCAGTTGCTGCTGTGAACATGTTATGTGTTTACATGTGGAGATGAATGAAAGTAATAGGTATTTATTGTAACCCAGCGAGAGTCCACGCCCCGTGAGCGACTCAGAAGTATGTAGCTCCGTAGTGGTGTGCGAGATTGAGGCACCGATGCAGTCCCGCGGAGCGCGCGGCGGCGGTGGCGCGCTGCCCCGCGCCCGCTACACTAGTCGCTCGGCTAGGGGCAGTCTTACCTAAGATGTTATTAGTGAATTATACACGAAACTTGCTCCATCGGTGACATCGCTCGTGCGAGAACTGAATAAATCACTTTAAAATTCAAATCTATTTGCACGGATCCCTGCGCGTGTACGTGTGACCATTGACTGTGTACCTTTGTGTGGACAATTCCTTCTGTGAACATTCCTCCCGGACAGTGGCAAGTCCAAGCTGTGTCTGCAGGGCTGCAGGACCCTGGGCGCGGGGCTGGGAGCGCCGGCGCCGCGGTATCTCCGCTGTTTGCTGTGCGCTGTTTACACATCGGAATGGTTTACTGATACCGAGATAATGAATTAAATTATAACGAGCGGTTGCTCGCCCATCTGAAAGCACAGTGAGTTTCTCTCGGCCGTCGGAGGCGGATTCGGACGCGCACCTACCACGCACAGTTACATTAAAAAATATATAAGAAATTATTCGAAGTAAATCGGTGCGGACGTAGAGCGAAGTATATAACATAAGGCAAAGGTTGTAAGGTAGACCGAGGCAGACGGCGGTGGACAGCATGGAGGAGGAGGCGGGAGTGGCGATGTCGTGGCGCGGGTCGGGCGGCAAGGCGGGCGGCTGGCGGCGGCTGGCGCGGCGCCGCGTGCCGCTGCTGCGCTGGCTGCCGAGCTACGACCGCGTGTCGGCGCTGGCGGACCTGGTGGCCGGCATCACGCTGGGGCTCACGCTGGTGCCGCAGAGCATCGCCTATGCTTCGCTCGCCAACCTGCCCGTGCAGTACGGACTCTACTCCTCGTTCGTCGGTACGTTGTTCTACGTTTACATTTTACCGCGGCCTTTCCAAAATATGTTACACAATGATTGTTCTAACTTCATTTAAAAATATAACTAGGTACATAAAATCACGCTTCCTATTTTATGTAAAACTAAATAAATCAACAGAATAAGCTACTCATTGTGGCTAGGTATATTCCGATTGAAATAGAGTGTTTGCTCTATCGACACGTCCATGTTGCTTCTATGAGGAAACAGTGAAAGGAATAAATTAGGAGGCAACAGCTTGTACTCAAACAACTGTCAACGACTGCACTGCTGAAGAAATGTTCTTAAACTTGCTTTTATTGTGAACACCAAAAAAAAATGCTTTGATTTTTAATTTAGAATTACGTTTTCCGGGAAATATATTATTTACTCTTTTAAAATTATCTACTTCTTATGAAAAGACGGATACTTTATATGCTAATATGTGTAGTAGGTATCGAACGAAGGAAGAAGCTACAAGTTTAACCAGTATGGCATTGTAGCACGCCCTGTACGTGTTGTATTATTCGTGCGACGTTGTCCCGAGTGTATCAGTCTATCTATAGTCATTATTGCTTATCCCCAGGCAAGATATACTTAGAGGTCGTATACCTACTGGACTTATATAATATAAATAGTTCCAGATATAGTTAATAGAGATAGAAAAAAAAATAAGTAAACTTTGTCCTAACTACGTAATGAATTGGTCTCTACAATTAAAATTCTTCCAAAGCGTACACGTACCTAGGTAAGTAGCTACATCTCTTCAATAGAATAGCAAGTTCCTAGACTTAGTTAGCTTCTCAGAACAATACTTAGTTTGTATTATAATGAAAACTCGCGATAGTTTATACATAGTAGGTAGGTAATATATGAGCATACGCACTAAACGCAACATACCTACTGGCAGTAGAGTGCTCGTATGGTCCGACACGTGCGTACTTTTACTTCATTATTGTTTTGGTTATGCGCCCAATACATGTATACTTTTTTTATTTACCTATAAAACCGTAATTGCATGTATGTTCGTAATGTACGCACCTTGTATTGAGTCAACTCTGTCTATAAAGACAGAAAATATACATTTACAGTGGGTTCACCATTCGCATTTCACTCGACGATAAAATGTAGGTATACCAAGTTGAGTACTTTTTCCCATTCCCCTGTATTTAATACTCAATATATTTATTGCATTCTCATATTTCTTCTAGAAAAAACCTCGGAGTAGGTAAGAAAAGCGCCACACACCAATAGCATTACAAGTGTGTTGCCGGCCCCTTGGTACCTTCGGTAACTTACATAAATAACGAAACAACTTCGTTGGAGGCCGTGGCATCACTCCGCTCGACCGGCCAATGTTGCCGATACATAGCTCAAATAAAACATTAAGGGGATTTGGCCTTTTTTAAGTCTTTCCGTTGTTTTAAATGCCAGTTAGCCGTTATGGGCTACGAGCTACGACTATAGCAGTGACCGCCATTGACATTGTACCTTTAGGAATACTATGGGGTCCAAGACATGACAGTGGGAGCTCTCAAATAAGGTCTCATCTTGGCAATATAGGTCTGTTTTAAGGCGATGAACGGTGAAGCGCGCCTGTTAATGACAATAATAAAAAGCAAGTCGTCCATTAGATGCATGTTGATGTTGGTCGAGAAGTTGGAATGTAAAGTTGTGCCGTACCTAGCGTAACGCGTGTCTGCAGGGACGATGCTGTACGTAGTGCTGGGCACCGTGAAGGAGGTGTCCATCGGGCCCACCAGCCTCATGGCGCTGTTCACGCTGCAGATCTGCCGCGGCCTGCCCGTGGAGTTCGTCGTGCTGCTCACCTTCCTGTCGGGCTGCGTCGTGCTCATCATGGGGCTGCTGCGGCTGGGTGAGTCACGTGTCGACCATATTATCGAGCGAAACTCAAAAAGCAAATTAAATGTTTTCAACAATACGTCACAACTAATCTGTTTCGTACTTCCACTTATCACACGATATTTACAACATGACTGAACATTTTAATTTCACTTAATCTACGTAAATAATATGCAAACATTTACTTAACTGAGCACACTGCTACAGTTGTTGTGTGTACAACGTCGAAGCTAAGCAAGCGGAAGTATCACAGTACTGGCTTGCTGAAGTAGCATTCGACCTCAAAGGATTCAAAATTCAAGATTTCAAAGTAATAACGAGTAGATATTGTTTGTAATAAAGTGTGTTCGGTTTGGTAGGTTTCCTGGTGGAGCTGATATCTCCGTCAGTGACGAGCGGGTTCACGTCGGCCACGGCCATCATCATCGTGGCTGCGCAGCTCAAGGGGTTGCTGGGATTGAGCTTCACAGCCGAGTCCGTCGGCGACAACATTCGGCTCATCGTCACCAAGTGGGACGACGTGCGCTACGCGGACTGCGCGCTGGGCGCCGTCTGCTGCACCGTGCTGCTTCTGCTGCGGGTACTGCGGGATTGATGCTTGTGTGTGTGCGTGCTTGCGGTATATGGGCTAGAGATTGTGAGTGTGTGTGTGCCCGCAGAAGCTGAAGGACGTGCGCGTGCGCAGCCCCCGCGTGGCGCGCGCGCTGTGGCTGGTGTCCATCAGTCGCAACGCGCTGGTGGTGCTGGCCGCGTCGTCGTTCGCGTACCTCACGCACCACCCCAACCAGCCGCTGTTCAAGCTGTCCGGCCGCGTGGAGCCGGGCCTGCCGCGGCTGTCGGCGCCGCCCTTCAGCGCCTCCGTGGACAACAGCACGGTGCACTTCGTGGACATGGTGCAGCAGCTGGGCTCCGGCGTGATCATGTTGCCCATCGTCATGGTGCTCGCCAACATCGCCATCGCTAAGGCTTTCTGTAAGTGGCGACAAGGCGCGAGCGTCGCGCGCGGCGGCGGCGCTGACGGAGCGGTGGTGTTGCAGGCGCGGGCGGGCGCGTGGACGCGACGCAGGAGATGGTGACGCTGGGGCTGTGCAACATGGCGGGCGCGCTGGTGCACGCCATGCCCACGTGCGGCGCCTTCACGCGCTCCGCCGTCTCGCACTCCAGCGGCGTGCGCACGCCCGCCGCCGGCCTCTACTCCGGTACGCAGCTACTCACTCACTACGCGCACTCCTCGCTGCCCTCGCTGCCCTCGCTGCCCTCACTGCCCTCACTGCGCTGTTTTTGTTTGCAGGCATCATTACGCTGCTGGCTCTGATATTCCTCACGAAGTACTTCTACTTCATCCCGAAGGCGTGTCTCTCGTCCGTACTCATCTGTGCGGTCATATTTATGGTCAGTACTTCTTCGTACGCGGGCACATCCATTCATATACTTATTCATGTATTTGCATGCCATAATGTAGATAATACATCGATCACTTATAAAGAACTTTCTAAGTTATCTTTATAAGTTCTTTATTAGTGATCGATGAGATAATATTAAAATTGTTGTTCATTCTGATACACTACAATTGCGTACGTACATTACCCACCTTCCAAGTAGTCAAATGCAATACTTATTTCGAACTGTTAAAAACGATAATTTTACAATTATACACGACCAAGGCTATGTAGTACTTATTTATTTAAATAACCAGATATCTACCTTATAGGAACATTTCGTATCGTACCTATATCGTAAAATCGCAAAATAATTATTGCATGACACACTTATATGTAGGTGTGTATGTTTGTTGGTGACGCGAAATAATAATAATTAATAAATCATTGAAAGATAATATAAGCATCATTAACCGATTTATTGAAATACATCGTTTTATATGTACCTATCTATGTATCTATACGTTAAATACGTTCATAAAACAAGTAAAATGTTTATATTCTCCATAGAACTAGTTTCTATTTTCTTCAAGGACAGTCATAGAAGTGCTTCTATGACTTCTATAAGCGGGTAGCTCCTCCAGCGAAAGTGATTCATGCTCCGACACACTCCGCGCGATAACCTCCGCCACTTTAATTCAATCTACCGCAGCGTCACAAGTATCCCGCGGAGATATTCCAGCGACCTCTCATGTGAATGCACTATTCATTGATTCAGTGTTATTTACAATGTTGTTATTAAACAGTATTTACTCTATTTTTAGAATATCTCAATACACACTATAGGTATGTTTACAATTTAATAACAACATTAATAAGTTACGTAGGTACCTACATGCAGTGAGCATGTGTAGTGCAGTTTGTTTTGCATGTATAGTGTAGTTGGTAAGTAGGAGGTAGCATGGGTTGTACGAAGTGTCCCGGCAGGTGGACGTGCGGTCGGTGGCGCGGCTGTGGCGGCGCGACCGGCGCGAGCTGGCCGTGCTGGCGCTGACGTTCGGCGTGAGCATCGTGCGCACCGTGGAGCTGGCCGTGCTCGCCGGCGCCGTCGCCTCGCTCGCCGTGCTGCTGCGCCAGCTCATGCGGCCCCCGATACACATACACTCCATCAAGGTACGCCCGCGCCGACTTCTCTTTTCTTGGATGACGCGAGACAGAGAGCGAATAAAAACCTCATCGTACCATTTGCCAAGCCAGGACCGAGACAGATCATCGCGCTTTACTCCCTCTCGCGCCACCCAGGGCAGAAGAAGTCATTTCATGACATTCCCCTCTCGCAGCCCCGGCTACGGCTGAACAATGTCCCTAGTGAAGTGATGGAGATCTGTAGTGGTTTCATCCCTCTTGAAGAAAGCGCGGAATGCAGTGCAATGTGGGATCGTGTCTGGATCTAGTAGGACGACGAGCTACCCTTGCTCGCCGTCCACAGACCTGCGCTGACGGCGGCCACAAATCGTGTCACGATCCCCAATACCTTTAGAGTGTCTCTTGTATGAGGGGCATTGTTCCCTGAGGAGACGGCTTCCCATTTCGTCTGGGTGTGCCCCATGGGAGTGAGCATGTTCGGTGGGTGTGCGAGGTCGTAACGCGTGTGTGAGTCCGCAGACGGCGCAGGGCGAGGCGGTGCGGGTGCGGCCGGCGCAGGGGCTGGTCTACGTCAACGGCGAGCTGGTGGCGCGCCGCCTGCTGGCCGCCGCCGCGCGCGCCGCGCCGCGACCCACCTTGCTCGACTGCGCGCATCTCGCCATGCTGGACTACGCCGCCATGCAGGTACACGCACCACTTGACGTCGACACTCAACGCTTCATCTCATAATAAAATTACTTTTACACATTATTTCATTACCCACATCTCTACTTCCAATTTTTACAGTTTTAACATCATTAAGAGAATTATTGTACAGTTGTGCAGCTGACTCCCCTTCCTTTTACATAGTCTCGTCGTGACTCGACGAGAGACTTGTATGTGTGTATGACTGAACGTACTTTTTGTAAACACACTTTGCGACCTTACCTAATGTTTCTAGGGCAGAGGTTAGTTTGGTTCCAGTTCCATCCGTGTGTATTTTCGTATTTTTTCATATACTTTATTTTTTTCTGCCAACTATTATTTTATAACCTGTGGACAGCCATATAAATGGTTTTGTTCTAACAACACGTCGCACACCAGTTTTTTGTGAGGCCGTGGTACCACTTCGGTCGAGGCGACCCATTCGTGCCGAAGCGTAAGCTATCTCTCCCACACTTAACTGTTTCATTTTCAGGTGTTGGAGCGACTCATAAAGAAGTTGAAGGCGGACGAACAGCTACTGATCATGTACAACGTGCCCGAGGACCTGGTGGCCAAGTACGAGTTACTGGAGGGAGTTGAACGTCGCGGGCTACGCGCCACGACCGCGGCGGATGCGCTGGCCAGCGTCGTGGGGGCGCCGGCGCCCGCGCAGCTCCCGGCGGGGGAGGACAGCGCTACGTTACTGGCGCCCGACGAGCCCGAGGCGGACGTGCTGCAGCCCTAGCTGTGTCGCGGCGGCGCCCGGCGGCCGCGGCTGGCGTTTGGTTTACGGTTGTCTGACAAAGGACTAATGCTTAAAAATGTATGAACCCCGTCCTCACCCTCTTCATAACGTTTTAAGAGTCATGTCCCTGGAAACGCCTCAGCCATCTTGCCATTTTATTGTGTGACAACAAAACTGAAACTTCTGCCCGAAAAAATTAGGTACAACAAGCATAGGTATACTAAGAGTGTATATTACAGTCGTAATTAATTATTATTATATTTCTGTATAGTGTTCTTTTTAAGGTAATATCATGACTGTCTTGTGATTCGAGTTTCCAGAATCGCAACTGCCGAGCAAAATTTCGCGTTCATTTTCGGGGTCGGAAAAAATGATAAATGCATGGAACGTCGAAATGTTTTTTTATGTTACTTAACTAACAACATGCGGAGTTGACGGTTTCCCGTCGCAGGATATGCTCAGATCTCGGAACCGAATTTGAGTCTGTTTGCTCCGTAGGTGCAATCCTAAGTTGCAAGTAACCTAATTGACCTAATAGGCCATTGCAGTTGTACTCGTAATATTTTTAGGATTAATTATGCCGAAACAATGCCAAAACGTTACATGTGCACTGCATCTATTAACAGTAGGTATCTTTACTTCGATGTGACTTGTTTCTGTTCTGTCAGAGTTTTAAATAAAATTGTAAGGTGGCTGAGGCCATTCGACTGGCGTTAGGTCTCAAAATGCTACAAGAGTGAGGGCATTTTCAGCATTGTTTTAGTGATAATATAGTAAACGCATCAATGAGGAGTACTCACTGTCGGCTATCTTTTATTCAGCAACAAGTGCTGACACGCCGGAATTGCATTTCAATTTGAACCACTCAGGTAGTTGAACAGGATGGTGGCGGTACGTCTAGCACCATCATTCCGATCACTATAGTGATCGATGATTACACGTTCATGCTAGCGCCATCTGTTGAGAAAAAAACGTTAACCCCTGGTTAAACTGTGGTTCCTTAGATTCACTCGTTGAAACAAACTCTTGTCGAAGCAACAGTTGTATTGTATGTTATATGATTGCTAATTCCATACATGATTCGGAACTAAATACATCGTCCGTACTACTAAAGCTCGTGGTGGCGGGGGCCTAATACAGAGGCTGGAGACGTGACTCAAACTGCGCAGTGTTGCCAGCTCGCGGGTACGTCGTGCAAGTTACCGTACGACTACTAGGTTTAAGGTTGACTAGTCCTACTTATATAATAATAACAATAACTTTAACTAGATATTATTATTGTAATTTAATTAATTAAAGTACGATTACACTAAAATGCAATGTTTTTTTAATAAATGGTATACACTAGTTGTAGTGAAATGCAGGACGATTTGACCATTATATTGTTCAGCATTATATTTTATATTTAATGAAACGTATGTGTGTGCCGTGGTGGATGGCAGAATACTCCCACTCTAGACCTACCTATAATACACTAGCACTACTCCTCCTGCGAGTACAGAGCCGACACTTTATACGTGTAAGTACGAAATGAAACAGAACCTGATCAACAGGGGTAACAATCTACTTGATATTCCAGAATTCGGTTTTTAATTAATTTTTCATGAAATGTTTTAAATCAAATCAAATCAAATCTATCTGTATTGTGGATCATAGGTAGGTACATAATACAGGTGGCAGATACACAATAATAAATTGTGAACAGCTAGGTTCCGCCCGTAGGGCATACAAAAGTAGGTAAGTACATAGTCATATTACATACACAATGCAATTGGAATTATGCAATAGTCAATTTATTAATGGAATACAATGTCAATAGTTCACTGAACGCATCACGACTGAATGGGATTGCTCGTATATTGGTGCAGAGATTTGTCTGACAAGAAATCTTTTATAGAAAAAAGCACTTGTTTACTAGCAGATCATAGTGTCTTTTTATTTTTTTCATTTATGCAATCATTCGAATGGGCCCTGGAATATTATTAAAATACGAGAAGCTGCACAAAAGATGCTCTCATGCATTCTTGCTAGCTAAGTACTGTGCGCAACTTGTTCTTGCGTGGTTTACGAGTGTAATAGTTGTACAAGTCAATATTATTTTTGACAAACACTGCGACCTCATATAATTATAGACACATGGCAAAGTTAAAAGGCACGAATCAGTTTGACATAAATTAAATATAGTTCTAATACACCGTTTTTGAGCAACAAAGGCGCCCTCCTTGTCTGTTACCCCAGAATATTACACCGTATCTGAGAGTTGAGCTAACGTAGCCATACATAACATAGCCAGGTAAGCTGTTAGTAAAGTAGACTATTTGATATTTTGCGTAACCTGTGCAGTGCATTTGAAACTTTGGATCGTTGATGATGCTTAATGCTTATCATCGCCGTGCTTGAATTTGAATCAAAGTTTCAGCAGCTCTTTGAACTACGTGACGATGAGCATCATAGAAACCGCAGCGCTCGGCTTTGCTCTTCAGTCTCAGGTGCTCTTTAAGTTGCGTGGCGCTTGGCATCTAAAGTCAGGCGGGTTTGAGTATGCTCTTCAGACTCTTGCTTCTGGCGACCACCCGCGCCCAGTCTTAGTTGAGGCCATGGTGCAGAGCGAGAGGAACTGGGAAGCCGTCTCCTCTTTTGGCGAAGCAGTGATGCTAGCAAAAGAGGAGGTGGAGCGCGTGAGGTCCTCACGCTTTAACCACTACCGTGACACTCCGGGCGTCGGGAATCGAGCTACGATCTCCGGCCACCGTAAGCACTGGTCTGCCGTAGGCGAGCGAGGGTCGTCGACGCCCGTTCTTAAACGAACTACTCTGTTCGAGAAAAAAAAGTTTCGGAATATTAGAACCGAAACTTTCGTTCGAGTTTTCCGAAACGCCAGAACAATCGAACCAACCATAGACTTTTAGACACCCACTGGAGAGACGCCATGGCGTCCTCACCTTCCACCTGATGCAGGCGCTTACTGGGCTAGGTAGCTTCCGTAGGTTCCTATTTTGGATCCGGCGGGAGATAACAACCGGGTGCCGTCATTATGAGGACCACCCAGAGGACACGGTGAAGCATGCAATGGCAGTGTGCCCTGCTTGGGCTGAGCACCGCCACGCCGTATCCTCTTGGAAGTGATCGGCGGCGGCGATCTCTCGCACCCAGCCTTAGTTAAGACCAAGGTGCGGAGCGAGAGAGACTGGGAAGTTGAGGCGAAGCACGTGAGGGAACTACCTCTGACCCGAGCGTACTTCAAGAACTACAAAACTGAAAATGAATGATAATGTTGAAAGTCGTTTTTAACAATCCATCTCAAATCCACTTCCAAAGTGAGCCAGCGAGTTTTGGAGTGCAGTACCTAACGTACCTTAGAAAATTGATTAACTCCAAAACTAGGTATAATACACAGCAACGGCGGGTGAAACTCACTCCCTACTGAGTAGAGCCCAAGAGACGAATGAACTTGACGATACCTGGCATTGTGCAGATGGCAGATGGCAGACGCCCAATTGTCACTAGACCATCTTCGGAGCTACCTACCTAGGATGTGTTTGATATCTACCTGTATGGGCTGTTAGGCCGATATTGGACGCTGTACATCAAAAACTTCTTCGAGGCCTATATTTAGCTTAAATTTTTCTGTGTAAGGCGTACAGGACAGTTAGCACTGAGGCCCTACCCGTGCTCGCAGTATTACTTTCCGTGGATCTTGAGCTGCAGAGACGTGTTGCTACGTACCTACTACAATACAATGCAAGACTTAACTGTTCTGAAAGCTTTGTGACGTAATGTGACCGAAACTTGCTAGATGGTTTAAGCTATTAGCGGACGAACGTCTAGGATGAAATTGTGACTAAATGGCATTCTTTATCAAAGACCGCCACCTTTTTCAGATTTTTCCATCCGTACAAGAGCGGCTAGAGAAGACATGGTTGGAGGTAGATCATTGTGTAGCCCAGTTTCTCACGGGCCATGACTTTAATCTTGTTGTCTCCCCATTGTGCCAATGTTCGACTGCGGGAAGGCGGACCCAAAAATAAATAAAAGAAACATTCATGAGCAACATTCCGCGACACGCGACTGTCGCGCTGCTACAAAAGAAACATTATTACTTATTTATTTAAGAATTAATTGTTGTATTTTCCAATGACGTATTATTATCTTATTATTTTAGCTGTCACACCTTAAATAAACTGTTTCTGTATCGCCTTAAGGTAGATTGTAGAACGTAGTGCCTTTGATATTAAATTCGCCATTGTACAAGAATTGTGCCAAAAGTATTTAATAGTCCGGTCAATTTAGACATTCGAAGTTACATAAAGTCCCAACAAGCTGAATTTCTGTGAAATTGTTCAAAACATATTTATAAACAATGTCTAAAAGTTCCCCATCATTCCCCTGTAAGGAAAAAAAAGTATTCAAGGTCAAAGGTCAGAAAAATTAGTTTTTCTCGATTTGCAGCAAAACGGTAAGTTTTATAATAAAAGTACCTCCGACAAAAATTGTAGTTCATAAAATTATCTATAAAAAATATATCAACACTTTTTTCTTACGACCCACCGTTTCTGTGATATAACGATTCAAAAAGTTATAAAAGTTGTTATTGTCATAATATGCACACCTTTCCACGCCTTTACCTAGGTATATACACATTTTTAGTTTGATGATTAGGGAGGTACCTACCTATCAATATTTTTCTAATACTGTTGTTGTTTGGTATTTCACTTGGCGCCGACTTCAAGATTATACATTGGTTATTAATATTATTTTCTATTTAACTAAATGAAAACATGTATTTCGACTTCGACTGTCAATGGTCTCCATCATCATTTATACTGCAGACCTTCAATATGTTTATATAATCCGTATAGGTGCAAAGTTCTCATCAATATAAATGAATTAAATCCAAGCGTTGTGCTTGGATCTTGGATTATAACTACAAATAATCAAAGACATCCCACGACTGTCTTTCTGCTCCATCATCAGATTTACTCCATTTACCCATATAGGTGCGAAGTTTTCATCGATATAAATGAATTAAGTCCAAACACGAAGTAGTTTCTGTGAACCGTTCAAGAGTTCCCTAAGCTGTCCTTCGTTCTCATCAGCAGACCCCTAATGACAGTCAGTCATAAATCTTGGTGCAAAGTGCGCACCCATACGAATCATTCAAGCCCAAACACAAGGTAACTACTCCAAATGATCTAGGAGATCCTTCAACTGTCTTCCGGCTCCATCATCAGGTCAAGTTCGACTATCGGCAAGTTATAGCGTTGTATAAAGCCTACTAAAACAACATGCAAAAGCACTACTAGCCCCTACAATTTTCGAAAGTTCCCCTCGGTTTCCCTAGGATTCTCTGGAGTATAACCTTTCAAACAAAACAAGAATTTTGGAAATAGGTTCATAAATGGAGGAGTAATCGATGAATATACAAAAAAAAAAAAAAAACAATCAGCCGAACATAGTACCTCCTCCTTTTTTTGAAGTCGGTAAAAAGAAGTGAAGTGTCAAATTCTGAACGTTAGTTGTATCGTGGTGACTACCAACTATTATAATAGCTTCGGATTTTGAAGGGTTGATTACTACGCTAAAGCTGTCAGCCTAAAACGCGATTCTATCCAGGTTTCGATTTACAGAAGTTCAGTAATAATAAAATTTATAAAGAGGCAGTCATCTCCGGCGAGATCATGTAAAAGGCCAGGGTGGATGATATGATACCGTGACTGACGGTAATAAAGGTGTTCAAAAAGCCTGCTAGTACCAAACAAGAATATTATGTTACCTTGGTTTCTTCCATGCCTGATCTTATATCGCTAGTCAACTTAAGCAAATCGGAGACAGGCAATACTTATTGTGCCCAGGTCTAAAACCCGACTGCAGTGGACTGATTACGGAGTACTTGTAGATGAAGTTGCTGGCTGTCTGTGAATACAGGCTTTAAGCTATTTTGAGAGGAATTGGGACTACTACTCCAGGTTATTTTGATAACATTGGTACGGGAATGATCTTTGTGTAAGAGCTCACCTTTTAAAATATTTTTCTATATTTTTAGTCAGCTAGGTTCGTTTAATGAGATGGTTATATATTTATAAACTTAAACTGTGGTAATAAAATAATTTTCGATAGTTGGGAAATTGAGATTTATTTATGGCAACACAAATCGTTCTGAATGAATGAATGAACATAACTGTTCTCAACTCAGAGTCAACTTCAAGCGAACAGTGGGATTATCTTTCCTTCGTAGTTCGTCATTCGTCAATCGTTCGGCATTCGTTCGTTGGTGTACATCGACTTCTCAGTTGTCGACGCACAATGTTAAACTTTTATTATTAGATAAATATGTGATCCGTGACATAAAAGTCTGATGTTATGTTTGAAATATGGTTTAGATTACCGTGAAGTTACATAAACACCTAGTTTTAATATTAGGATAGTTTCATTATGAAGTGATTATCGACCTCATTCGACTGTTTATGTTTAGTAAACGGGTAAAGGTTTAACAAAGTTTGTTTTGCAAACAGACAGTTTACCCGCAATCTAAAGTCTCCGTGAACAAGCTCAGTGTTGTGGTAATAAATCAGTTATGATCGTGATATGAGATGGTAACAATGGGCGAAATGTGCAAAGTAGTGTTGTGTCTTTGTATGGCGGTGTTGAGCTGGGGCGGTGCGGCTGCGGAGATCGGGCATAATATGAACAACATCTCGCGCAGCATGCTCGAGGAGGTGACCGACGTGATGGATATGGTGGAGGTGATATACTCGGAGCCAGTGATTACCCCCAAGTACGTTTCCGACTTGCAATTCGATATGCGCGCTATGGGCCCCCTCTACAACTCGACACACATCATCATCGACGCCATCGCTGACAAGCAGGCTTATCCCGAAGGTAATTAGCGACATTAACTTTTTTTATTATCAATATCCATCATAAACATCATTGTCATGATTTTAATGGGATATTTATTTTACAATGTAATGAACTTTCAAGCTTGATTATTTAACATATCTTTGAATCTGTGTGAACCATTTCCATACAAAGGGTAAGCTGGGAACCATGGACCAAGTCCACCAGACTGGCTTGCTTATTGTTTATTCATACCTACTTATGTAAACTTGCTAACATAACACATGATTGGTTACATTTAATTCATTGAAGGTTGTTCAGTAAATACATTTAAAAAGATTCTATCATATTACAAGTAGGTACATACTTGAGATATACAGGACACAGGGTAATTACTGATTGTGATGTCTACTTAACAATGGAAATGTAATATAATGGGCACATGATGAGTCATGATCAAGGAATGTATAATGAAACATGAGAGTGAAAGTTATACCAACTTGAATTTACGAAGCATTTTTTATATGATAAATCTTGACATTGAGGTCCTGAACCAAAAAATAGTCTACCTACCATATGGTTCTAGGTCATATAAGTTATTTTACTGAGATTAAGATAACTTTATTCACAATTCATATATTCATGAAACTCAAATTGAAATAACCCTTCAACATATAACTTATTAACAAATAAAAATGTATCAGTAACAAGAAAAGAAATAGACAGTAGTGCAACAGCATTCACTCATCCCTATATTACATATACAGTATTAGTAAGTAATTTTGATTTAAATTATGTAGGAATAAAAAAGCACCAAATGAATGTTTGTCAGTAAGCAAAAAACTTTGAATAAGATAATGTACTTAGTTTAGGTTTAAGCTAATAAGAAAAAGCAGTATCTGTTCTTTTTTTGTGTTGCCTCACACTATAATTTCCTATCGTGTTATGGGTGTGTTTACAAACATAAAATTTGACATGTATACACATCATACCCAGATCCATCATACGGAACAGCAATTTGTGGATGAAGCCAGTTGCCCAGCCACCGTGCCAACCGTGTAGTACTAGTATCGACAGATAGTGTATGTCTAGTGAAAATGTGAATTGTTCTGTCTTTAAAACCTATTATACCACAAATTGGTATATCTATATTTTCTTAAATTGTACTTTTAATCTTTGTATAATAACTTCTACAAGACCATGGTAGTCATGGTGTATGTGCTAGTCGATTCCCGACATTGGACAACAAAATACTCATATTTCAGTGACAGTGGCTTTAAAAGAAACAGGAAAGACACTAGTATACATGAATTTTAGGCTGCTTAAATATTGCTAATTATTCCATAATCTATCCAATATACCTAACAGGAGAACAAGCAACTTAAAGCCTTATTACCTACTTTCTGTAGACTACAGATGTAGGGAAGTTCCTTGCTCATAATATATTTGACAGTGCTGGAGGCACGCGGTTATGAGGTTGGCTTGACTAAACAATCATTGATTAAAAACAAACATTTGTAAATGATATGTTTGCTTCTATAATTGCACCTATGTCTGTTTAATGTTTAGAGGTGTTTTTTATTATTTATTGCCCATTCTACTGCACCCTCTCCTCTGGCGGATATACCAGAATAGTCTCGCTCGACATATCCCTCTGACAAAGAGATAAGCTAATAACATCATTTAGATAACTTTTGAACAGGCACAATACTCTGTACTGTTACGACAACTCGACCAACGAAATAACTAAAGCAATGAATTAACTAACTTGCATTAGGACTTGATCGACCTTTTAATAAAGCTGCCGTTGATCGAAGGGTGCGCTCGCGCAAGTCACATGTCATGTCGCGGTCTTTGACCTTGTGCCTCCAGCTCTCTGCTCCAACGTTTCCCTGTTATGGACTTAGCAAATAAAATTAATTTATTTATACATAATGTATAAGAGGTCAATATGGGGCTGACTGATTAATGAGTGACCTTTTGACATAATTCTTTATTTTAATGTTTGAGGCAGCACCTACAATCGTGCATCAACGTCCATAACATTCTAAATTTATCTTTGTTTTTGTCTATTCTTGTTGGTCTGTGGATTTGGTTTCGATTCCCTCTTCGGGTAAATAGTGATTAATGATTTTGCGGTTTTTCCTATATGTCACCAGTTCCTAAATAGCACAGATTTATTTCCTGATGTTTGGCAATATGCTCGTTTAGCGTGTGCCATCGTTATGACTTATGCATATGTGCACCCATTTAGGAATAAAAAGGCGTGTTGTGCGTTATGTTTTTCTTAGTTTAACCCCAGTGAGCTTTATCAGTGAATATTCGGTGAATGTTGAATGATGATAAAGCGATGAGAAGACAAGCAGCGAGTGCGAACAGAAGCGACGTGAGGCCGCGCTGCGTGGGCGCCTGAACTGGTTGACCCCAAAACAAATAAGATAAGCGTTTTGTACAAACTGCATTGTTCGAAACGTTCTCTTACAATTTAGCACAGTGCATTACAAAATAACTTTTATGCAGTTCTTTAAAAGCAGCAACAGTGTAAATGCATGTAGATCGACACATCATTGTCATATGCGTATTTCGAGTATTCCCGAACTAGATATTGCCAGCAAGTTTGCCCGCGCTACCACGACAAAATTGCCTTGTGTAATATTTCAGATTGCAATGTACTTAACTTGTGCAAATTTTCATCCAGATCCATTTACCTAAATAGTAGTATTTGTGTGAAAGAGCGACAAACTTCTATACATATTGCATTATCCCTAAAAGATAAATTATTTAAGTTATTAGTGTTCGAGTTATTTTAATAAAATGAATGAAATACTTATTGCATAGACAATACTATCGTGGGACAGTAAATTTATTGAAAACTAGCAGACCCGGCAAACTTCTTTCTTTCCGGCTCAAATGTAACTAATATTTACTTATTTATTTAGGTCAAATTTTTCAATAGTAATAAAATTGTTGCTGTCACTGTCTTATACAAACATTCTGACGCGACAGCATCATAATTATTCCCCAAGTATCTTTTATTTAACCATTGAAAAATCAGCCATTAGTCAAATATTCTGACCTTTAAATCTTCCCTGAATATTTCAAGAGCACATTAACCTATGTTGGTCGATTCCTTTTCGAGTTGCGGCGGGACCAACGAACAGCAATTCTATTCAATTGAAGTAACAGAAAAAAGTTCTTGCTAAAAATTGATATACTACAGACTATGTGTATGTATAATTTAATATTTTTTTTTTTTGTAACTCGGGGCTTCTATACCTTTATTGAACGAAGAATTTGGGGGCAATTATAGATGGTTCTATCACTTCGTGGTAGTTCGAATTAATGAGCGTTGAACAAGCAAAAGCTGCTAGTGATGTTATAAATTTATTACGTTGATACGTGAGGTATATCATCATTGGTTTAGTTCATGATTCAAATGTCAAACTTATTTACATAGGATTTCGGTTTTTGTTTGGATTGAGAGCATCCGGTAGCTGTAGCGTGTCCACTCCTAGTGGAGTGACAACATTATTTTGTATTCGACGTAACATTCGTTCAATGCTCAGTGGTTTGTATTGTAAAATTAATGTATTTAATATGATACATCGATCACTAATAAAGAACTTTCTTTATTAGTGATCGATGACGAATAAAGAACTTTCTTTATTAGTGATCGATGATATGATATAATAATATGTAGCTGAATGCATCAAAATAATTAACAAAGACCTTCCTAGAGTCTGACAAAGACTGCAAAAGGTTTAAATTTTGTAACTATTCAATCCAATAAACAGGGTTGTCCTAAACCCTCGCCTTCAGATTGAAGTAGGACGAAGTTTCAATCAACTCTAGAAGTTACCGGCCTTCTAAAATAGAGAACCTAGGCTCTTTTCTTAAGAGACTGATGTTATAGTATCGGTTCAGTAGTGCGTGGCAAAGAGTCTTTAATTTCACACCCTATTAGGTCTTCATATCCTCGCAGAGGTTATCGGCGACAATGATCCTTTGCTCGGCCGACGGTACTGATAATAACGTTATCGTGACGTTATGACAACGTCATGAAGGCCGTGTGTACCGCCCGCCACCGCGCGGTGTCCATGTTGACTAACGTTAACTTCTCGTAGTTCATACTCGCCTAGTACTTTTTCAGGAATGAGCAGTGAAGTGTTTGCTTCACGCATAATATCTGGAAAATTTCAGTTTTTTGTTGTATCCTCGGTTTTGCGCTATTAACTACTGTAATGATCGTTTCTGTCTACAATAGAATATTAAAAAAAAAAACGTAGCCCCTTTCTATGATTTTCTCCTGTGTCGTAGATGCGTTTACAAACATACAATTTCACATACACATCAAACCCAGACCCGGAACAACAATTTGTGGATCACACAAAGATTTGTTCCGTGCGGGATTCGAACCGGCAACACGTAGCGCGCCAGCCAGTTGCTCAGCCACCACGTCACCCATGCAGTCAAATATTTATTTGTTTGTTACTATTTCCCATCTTTAGGTCTCCAAAAATAATCTATAAATAATAACAAAATATTGAAGCAGTTGAAAAACGCCTGCGTTACAATAATACGTTTAACATAGCTTAATATTAAAATGTTAAACGTTAACAGTATAGTGATGACTGGCGTGGTCCAGTGACTGCGCCGCGTCGTCGCCGACGCGTATCGTACTCTACGTCACGATCACGATACGTCATAACACGTCACCTGCCTGCCTGCCAGCCTGCCACACTCGTGTGAACACACCGCGCTCGACTTGCCACTTAGACGGGGCTTGCTAGAAAGTGATTAGCCTTTTCTTAATTTTTAATCAGCAGGCACCTACCTAGTATGCTCTGGTTATACCTATTATATTTTCCGGTTGTGTTAGAGGCAGGAGACCAAATAAATATGATAAAATCAACATCTAAGTAAAGTTGGTATTATTATGTTAATTTTTGGTAAATTTTTGGTCCAGTCTTGCACAACAAAATCAAAAAGATCCTTTCAATAATTCTATTCAGGATAATTCATTATCCTGAATAGAATTATTG